CTGGTTGGGAGGAACAGATGGGCGGAGCTGGGGGTGGGGCCAGGACGCATTCTTCCCAGGCCCGCCCCTTCTAGGTGGGCTCTAGGTAACCCCCTCCAGCGAAGGTTGTACTCCCAGTCGCCAAGATGTCAGTTTACATCCGTATTCCTTTCTTGTGACTCTATGTGGGCAGCTCTGCTGGGGCGAAACAGCCCCAGAAACTGGTCTCAGAACGAAGGGTCTTTATCACTGCAGACAGTGGATTGGAGACCTGCCTGACTCTGCCTCTGAGCTACTCTTCCTCTGCACCCTGAATGGCAGTTTCCATTGTCAGCTCCGGACCGGAGGGCTTGAACGTTGGGAGAGGGGTCCACATCGCCCCCTGCTGGAGGATCGGGCTCCCACTGGAGGGCAGGGGAAGGCCTCTGGCCTGGTCCTAGGGAGATGGATGGACTGGTAGGCTAGGATGTGGGTGTGCTCAGAGAGCGCCCGGGTTTTCTGGGGACCTCGGTGCAGTAGAGCGAGGAGAGAAGGGCCCACTGTTTCTAAGGGCAGGCTGAGCCCCAGCCTCACTGTACCGGAAGTTCCCCAGCACAGGCCGTAGAGCAGGGGCGTCTGTGGAGCAGGGCTGCAGGGAGGGAGGGAGCAGTTGGTGTCTCCCAGGTCACTCAGCTGTCCCTCCAGCAGCTCTCTCTGGACTTCCCTACCTGGCTCGTCTGCTTTCCAGACCTGTACAGACAAAAGGTTCTGGGGACCCCTGGCTTCTGCAGGGTGGGCTGAGTGTGGCCGAGGGCCCAGTTCCTGAGCTCACCAAGAGCTGGGGTCCCTCCTGCTGGGGGTGCCAGTGTCGGTCTCTGCAGCGCCCCCACTCCGCTGTGTTGCTGACTGACTGACAAGGGAGACAATGGCTGTGGGAGCCGGGAGGCGCGCATGGGGAGGGGGTGCGTGGGTTGTGCGATTTTCCAGGACAGGCAGGCATGTGAGGGAAAGGAAATTGCTCTGTCTGACATCTCAGAGTGCTCTCCAGAACTGTCAGGCGGCTGCTTCAGGTCTGCAGAGGCAACAGCCAGGCGGGCTAGGGCTGAAGCTCACCACAGCCCACAGATCCTCTTCATGTTTGTCTGCACGTGTATCACAGCCTCACACCAAGAGCTGTGACATCCACTGTTAGAGCCACCAGCATGGGGCTCTGAAGGCCTGCTGACCCACCCAGGTCTTGGGGCTGACCATGGGGACAAAGCCAGAGCTTGGACCCGGGCTCCTGGGCCCCGAATCCACACCTTGTAGAAGCTGTGCTCCTGCATCGGATGAGGCCAGGGAGAGCCACCAGGACAGACAGCAGCTGTGGCTCCTGTTCTGGAGCCCAGGCAGAGTGTACCAAAGGTGCATCTACCTCATTCCACCCGGCCTTCCCCTCCCAAACTGGGTGCTGGGTTGTATCAGCAGAGAGGCTGCCTCTGAGTCCCAGGAGGCAGGTATGGCAACCCTGGGACATACAGGAAGCTGGGGAGTCCTGGCTCTCTGCTTTGATGATTCTTCCCCCATGGAGAAAAGAAGGTAGCTAACAAGCACTGGGTCAGCAACAGATCACTGACAAGGAATCTCTACCTCTTCCCTCACAAGACCTCTGTTCACAGTGCTGCAATGACAGGCGGGGTGAAGGGGAACTGGGGTGGTGCTGTTGGTAGCATTTCACGAGGACACCCGGAGTTCAGAAACGCACTGTCTTGTCTCATCTCGGGTCATGGTGGGAACTGCCTTCTCCATCCACTTCAACTCAGGTGTGGCCATGTGACATGCTTTTGGGACTGGGACCACCAGAAGGCCAGATGTACTTTGAAACCCCAACGCAAGACCTGCTGCTCATACAGAGGATGGTGACAATCCTGTCAACCTCGCCAGCCTGGCTCATTGTTCCTTCCTGGGGTTCTTCACCATAGTTGGTGCCTCCAAGAATAAGCTAGGCAAGAAAAGAAAGTTGTTGTGATCATCACAGAGGGACAAAGGACAAACCAGTCCCTGGACTCTTAATGTGTAACTCATTAAAAGCATGACTCATGTTTTCTTTGAGATGGTCTGGGACCTAAGAGCTGATTTTGCTAAAAGTCTGTAACTTTGCTTGGGCCTTCAGATGTCCAGCGGGCAACTAAAACAGGACAGAGCTGGGCATCCCTGCCTCCACTTAGCATCTGTCTCCTGTATCACCCAGCCCAGCTCTGTGGAGCTATGGAGGAGGGGTGAGGCATTTAAGGAGTGTTTGTCTACACTAGTCTTTCGAGCTTTGTAGCATTCAGTTTACCAGGTCTGTCTCATCCCCCTGAGACAGGATAGCAAGATGAGCCATCAACAGGGACATTTGGCTGCCAGCTTTTACCCCCTGGAATAGGTGCCCAAAGTCTCCATTGGTTGCTTTAAACCTGCAGCCACCTTTGACTCCAGCAGAGAGTCCTCCCAGCTGAGACAGCCCTGCTTCAGGGCCTCACTTGTCTCCGGGGAAACAGATTGTCCCTCCGCTGTAGAGAGTTACATCGCCAGAACTGAGACAGTAACCAGCTAGACCCAGACTGCCTTAGCGACCTAACCAAGCCTGGCGTCTTTCCTCTGTCAGGGGCCAGCCCAAACCCCCCATTGAGCAGTGCCACTCCCCAGTCCTCAAGCTGTCCTTCCCATTGGTTTTTCTTTACCGCCAGTTCATGCTGTTGTCTCAGTTTTGATTTCTGTTATCCCTGCAGAAAGTACCCACGCTGGCCAGGGACACTCTGAAACCTGGGCAGAAGTACCATGGAATGTCACTTTGCGGCAGAAGCTAGGAACCTATGCGTGGCCACCATGGTTCTCTTTGCTTGTCTCTGAGATTCTCTTGGTTTTTTTTTTTTTTTTTTTTTTTTTTTTGGCTTTTTGACACAGGGTCCCACTATCAGGCTGGCCTTGAGCTCACTTTGTAACCCAGGCTGGTCTCAAACTCGCAATGATCCTCCTGCCTCAGCTTCCCGAGCGCTAGGATTACAGGCGTGCACCACCTCACCTGGCTGTCTCTGAGGTTCTGGACACATTTGTTGAGATGAAGTCCCCCTCCACCAAGTCACTGAGATAGTGGTGCACAGAGCTCTCCTGTGGATTTGGAAGAACCGTGTTGCATGTGCAAGAAATACACTTTGAAACCACTGACACGTTTAGGGGATGTTCCTTACTACAGCATAGCCGATCCTGTCCTGAGAGTACACCAAGCTGGCTGGTGAGTCCTTACCTGGGACTTCAGAATAAGAACCTTTCTGGTGGGCTTGGCTCCCAAGACATAAACCCAGTCTATTTGCTTTCCACCATGGAAATGCAGAAGTAGAAAAATCACATTTCAAAGGGAAAGAGAGCAGGAACATATGAGAGGTGCAGAGGCCACCTCAGCTTTCTGTTTTCTGCTGAAGATTTAGACACTTAAAAATCCCATGTTGGGCATGGTATAGTCCTAGGACTCTGGGAAGCTGAGGCAGGAGGATCACAAGCTTGAACACCACGTGGGCAACTGAATGACTTGGTGAAACACTGTCTAAGAAAAGATCTGGCTCAGTGCAAAGGTCCTGAGTCCAATTCCCAGTATCGACCCTTGGGTAGTTAAGGGGCCTAAGGTCACTGGGCACTGAGGACTAAGGTCACTCGATTTCTTTCCTGGTAAAATAATTCAAATGGTAAAGATAGAACACAGATAGGTCTTCCTGTCTCCCTCTCCCCACCCTACTGTCTGGAAGCAACTACCCCCAGCAGTCAGGTGGGTGCAGTTGTCTGCATGTTCCTGTCCCCCAGGATTCACATGTGGCAATCTTGTACCGAGATGGCTTTAAGTGGCACAGCTTTCTGGAGTCTGAGGAAGCTGTGTGCTCCTTTGTGCTGTGACAGGACACAGCTGGATGGTACGAGTCCTTCCCACACCCACTCTGCTAGGGCCTTGATTTTGGACTTTGGAACCCCCAGGCCTGTGAGTGACCATCAATTACGCACTCTAAGATGTTGTTATAGCAGCACAGACAGACTATAATAGTGGACATTGTATCAGGCCTTCCTTTTAAAAAGATGGGCTGAGGCTGTGTGCGGTGGCATTCATCCTAGCCCTCGGGCTGAGGTAGGAGGGTCTCGAGTTCAAGGCCAGTAAAGTACAAGCGAGACTCAGCCTCAAAAGGGCAGTGGGCTGGGAATGTAGCTCATAGACTTTTGCTCGTATGTCAGGTTGTGGACACTGCCCAGGTCTATCTGTACCTGGCCAACCAGGAGAGGTGCCAGGGCAGAAGCTGTGAAGGAGGCAGGGGCCACTGCGAGCCCTTGCATCCCGATGCCGAGGGCTGAAGTCCCCCAGGCAAGGCTGAGCATCAGGACTTGGGTAGAACCTCTGGGGCTTCTGGCACAGCCTCTTCAGTGATTCCCAAGAGCCCCTGACACCAATTCCTGGCTTTTCGGTAGAAATCTGCTCCCCTAACCAGGTGTGGTGGCACACACCTGTAATCCCAGCACTTAGGAGGCTGAGGAAGGATTGCTGAGAGTTCAAGGCCAGCCTGGGCTACATAGTGAGTTTAGAACCAGCCTAAACTACACAGCAAGGCTCACTTTCAATAAAACAAAAAACAAAACAAAACAAAAAAACCCCAAGAAATCTGGTCCCCTGTGGGGAAATCTGCTCCCCTTCTCTGGCCCAGCACTGCCCCATTAATTCCGGGACACACCCACTGCTCCGAACACCATCTGGTCTCACAAACCCAGGCAGATAGGAGGCATGCTCCCAGGTGGGCTGGGCGTGACGCCCTGATTCTCTCCATCCTGACGTCACACTTCAGCAGCTGCATTCACCCGCTCTGCAGAAGGACCAGGAAGGCGGTAGGGACTGGGGCAGAGAAGCCAAGGCCTGGAGCCCATGGGGAACCCAGTGCAAAAGCCACAAAGCTAGAGGTAGCAGGCAGGCAATTAAAGGAGGGGGGAGGGGGCTGGGTTTATTATTAACAGGCATTAGTGCTGAAGGCAGATAATTAATAGATTAACAGGTTGTGAGCCAGGCAGCTGCCCGCTGGGATGGGCCAGGCAGAGGGCAGGGAGGACGGGCCTCCAGTCACCGAAGGAGAAGGAATTTTGGGGTCTGATTCTCTGGACCCTGAGGACAACTAGAAGTCATGGGACTGACTCAGCAGGGACAGAGTGCGCAGGCTGGAAGGGCTGGTAGTGTAACCCAGTTGTCCCCTTGTTCGTGAGAAGATCTGGGGCCATGGTGCTGACCCTCTGGAATCTGCTTCACCAACACAGCTCACGGGTTGCCACAGTTTTGGGGGCACTGTTGCATGCTGAAGGGGTGGAGGAAAGACTTGGAGGTTAGAGCTTCCTGAGCCAGACTCCACCTGCCCCTTCCCAGCCGGGCAGCTCAGCGGACAGGTCAGTCGCACCTAACACCTTGGTCTTCCCCTGTCATGGGTTTGCAAGGGCCACTGTCTCCTGGAGGACCAGCAATCTGAAGCCCTGGGGACCTACCCTGCATGCAGCAGATGTCCCTGCCCGCCTGGGATGTAACTGTGCTGGGAGAGGGAGGTTAGTCATTGTTAAGTCCTGGGATTGCAGAGCTGCCAGTGACAGCAACATAGCCCAGCTTGTTTTGTGACAACGGGGTTCCCTGATCCCAGGGACTCTGTTCATCACCCACAAAGCAGGTCAGATGATTGAGTGTCCCCACTTTAAGTGAAGCAAGGCTGAGAGGTTAGGTCAGATGACATACAAGAAGCTAAAGGATACTCTTGGCTCCTGGACCCCAAAGCAACCCATTAATCCCATGAACAGCAGGATGTTGCCCTGGTCAGAGGCCAAGGACATTGGATCAGCCCTGATTAGTGCCAGGTGAAGGGCTGAAGCATTGAGCCCATGTGGGGATGGGCAGGGACTTGTGGGAGGAACTAGGTTACTTGGGGCCGTGCTTTTCAGGAGAACATCCTGTCCCCAGCTCTGTCCTCTCTCCCTCTGGCTCTCCTCCTCCTCCTCACCTTCTTGGCTGCCATAGCACGAGCAGCATTTTGGCTGAATCCCCTGAAACCATGAGTCCACACAAACCGTTCCTCTGTCCCGTTTTCTCAGGTAACTGTGAGGACCAGCTGACTGACACGCGTTTAGTGGGACCACATCCCCACAGGAGCTTTGGTGGGGCTGTTGTTGGAACCATGGCCTAGCGTCTCTTGAGGTCCCCCCTTCCAATCTACTCCGTTGCAAGATGGCTGCCTGCTTCTGAGGTCCTCCTACAACCTTGTGGAAGAGGAACAGGGCTGCAGCAGCAGAAACAGCTCTTTTCTCCCCTTGTTAGCTGCTCCTGCTGCTCCTATTTGGTCTCCGAGATCAAACCCAGTTTTTCCCCAGCTGATCTCATTCCTCCTGGAGTTTCTGAGGCTCCATGTCCAAAGACCAGCACTCGCTTCTGTTTGCTTTCTAGAGACAAAGCCTTCTCACTCACTTGGTGGTCTGCTCCTTGCCCTGAACGCCTATTTCTGTCAAAGTGTGTGTTCCAGGCAGAACATCTTTAGATTCCCTGTGCATATTCCATGGAGATGCAGTCCTTTCTCAGCCCACCAAGGAGTCATCTCTGCCACAGAGCTGGCAGCACCTTTGCTGGGGAGGGCGGGGATGCATGGGCAGCCCACAACTCCAGGCTTTTAGATGCACAAACACGTCAGGAGTGCCTCCCACCCACGTAGCATCCTTGATTAAGAAAGAGCCCAGTTCTCACAAATCAGTAGGGGCTGGAGATTGTCTTGTATCTCTGGTCACAAATGAATTCCTGCTTTGGCTAATGTCACCTGCAGTCACCTCTAGAATCAGAGGTATAAGTATTAGGGCTCTGGCAACTGAGCACTTCAAACAGGGTCAGAAAAACAGAGGGGCTGTTTTAGTGTTTTCTTATCTGAGTCACAATACCCAACACCCCCAACCTAAGGAGGGTTTATTTTGGTTCAGCCTATAGTCAGAGGGTTCCAAGGCAGGGTGGCAAGGCAGAGAGGCCTAGGGGAAGAGAACTGCTCACAGCATGGCAATCAGGAAGCAGAGAGGGCTCAAGGGCGGAGCGAGGGAAATAAAACCTTCCAGGCCACGCCCCCAGCCCCCCACCTCCTCCAACCAGGCCTCACCTCCCAGCAGCACGTTCAGCTAGGTACCCCAGGGTATCATCCCTACCGGATGATACACTCGCCTCCCAAATGCCCCTCCCATGGACCCAGGAGGCTTTGGGGGACATCTGTGTAAACCATAGCATTCTGCCCCTGGCCTCCAGCAGACTCAGGCACATCTCTCGATGCAAAATGCATTTAGTCCATTTCTGAAGTCCTCACAGTTCCAGCATTGCTGAAAAGTCCAAGTCCCAAGTCTCCCCTGAGATTCAAGGCAAACTCTTAGCTCCAGGTCCCTGCACAATTAAAAAGAAAATCAACAAAGGCATTCCCATTCCAAAAAGAGAGAAATAGGGTGATAGATAGGAAAGGGACCAAAGCAAATAGGCTGGATCGCTGTGCACCTTGGGCTGAGTCCCAGCAAAGTCTCCGGGCGGCCCTTGGTGAGCATGGACTCTCTTCTGAAAACAAAGTCTGGTTAGCAACCTTTGTTCCCTCCCGTGTGGTCAGGACTTAGGGATCGGGTTGTGCACATCCTGGAGCCTCTTTTCTGCCTTCTGTATGCAGCAATCTGTAAACAGCCTGCCCCACACCCAGCCCCCGCAGGAACTGATTTGCTCTAGAGAGGACAAGGGACAAAAGTCAGGCCAATCAGAGCAAGTCTAGGACTTCCTGGAAGTTCTAACATAAAAGGCTCATAGTGGGGCTGTGGTGAAGCCCAGACAAGCTCTGGGACTCCTGCTGCCATTGTCACCACAGAGGGGAAGCCAGCCTGAAAGGAAAGGTCCCGCGGAGACTAGAAATGAACCGCTTGCAGAGAGCAGAAACTAAAGAGCTTTGTGGAGCAAATACTGCACAGCAATCACGTCGTCTCAAACCTCTGGATCACACCATGCCTGAGTCTCACACTGGTTCTGAGTTTTCAGTTAGGTAAATCTACAAATTCTTTACTGGCCACACCATTCGAATTGGGTTCTTTTGCTATTTACAAACTGCAGATTTGGGAGAGTGAGGCTATGGTAGAATAGCAGGGTTCGATCACCTGAGGTCCATCCTCAAAACCAGCCACCTCTTCCCTTGGGTCCACAGGGAACACCTATCCTGCCCCTGGATCTCATGAGAAGCAAACCTGATTGACTTTTCAGGGGGAAAAGAAAATATTTTGAAAACTGCTCTTGGAGTTATTCCTAAACAAAAACTATCCCTATACCTAATGTGACAAATGTATTGGGTGACCCATATCTAATGTTTCTTTTATTGATGAAGAAACTCTATGTCAAGCTGTATTTGGCAACTCCACCAATTTGGATTTAACTGAACAGTTTACATTGGTCATATTTGTGGTCCCCAGATTGTCTCACCCCCCAGGGAAATCAAATCCTAGAGTTTGCAAGCCCAAGAGTTCTTTGGTGTTTTCCTCATTGTCATAACATCACTGCCATAGCTCCAAACATCACATTCTTACTTAATGGTGAACAAAACTGGAAAGAAGAGAAAAGGATGGAGAAGAGAAAGAGGCAAAAAGCTTTCTTTGCATATAAAGGAAAATTGTCTGTAGAAGGATCATGGTGGAGTTTCTCATTGCCTGGTGTATTAGTCAACTGTTTACTGTTATACTAAGATGCTAAAAATTAAAATAATTGATGAAAAGATAATTAACAAAAATAGTTACTTAAAAAGATAGTTATTAGTAATATTGTCATTCTGTACTGAGCTCATTACCCTAGTAACCAAGCAACAACCACATAGTTATAAATTAACTGACCGCTTCATTCTGCTGTTCTGTATGCGTCATCCCCCCACCCCAGTAACCTGTTTGCTGTGTCAACTTTTGTTCCCCTTGTCAGAGACAAATGATGCTGTGTCAACCATTGTTCCCTTTATGAGAGACAAATGTTCCTGGAATTGGCAGACCAAGGGCTATGAATTGGCTAACCACCCACTGTGAAATGCCTCTGACCTCAAGCAAAGGGGAACAAAGGCCCACCTTGTTTCTGTTTCTCATCACTACTTAATGATCAATGAGCTAATCATAAATGAACTATAAAAATCAGTCAAAACTCTAACTCAGTTGCACAGCTTTGCACATTCCATCTGCACTGTGTCGCTGGGCCAGCTAAAATAAAAGTGCTTCTTTTAAAAAGACGTCTTGCCCCGTTGGTCATCTTGGGGTCTTGCCCCGTTTTTCACCATGAGGCCTTGTTTTTTGAGTGGAGTACAACATTTACCACTGGGAAAAATATCTGACATAGGCAGTTTAAAGGAGGAAAGGTTTATTTTGGCCTGGTTGTTGGACATAGGAGACCCCCCTCCCTTGTTGTTTGAACCCCTTTGAATGCAGCTAATTCTAACCCAGTCCCCCATTGGACACCAGGCGGCTGAAGAAAGGTGACGTGTGAGGTCTTGGAGCTCAGCCTCATGGGTGGGTTCGATGGTCCTTACAAAAATCCACAGCCCGGAGGGACCAGGACTTTGTTCAGAGTCCCAAGTGGGTGGGAGGTGTGACTGGGGGAGGCCCAGGGCGCTGCACAGAGGAAAGTGGCTCTCAGGGCTCAGAGCCAGCACCCGCCGCGGCCAAGCCCAGCCCTCCATCGGGGCTGCTCTGAGACAAAGGCCTCAGACACCCACCGGTTCCCTGGGCAGGGTCAGGTGGTGGAGCTGGTGGGTAGAGGGTGCTGCTTAGGAGCTGGGGGCCCGCCGGCCCAGGGCGGGTGGCAGGGTTTTGTGCAGGGCACAGCTCGGCCTCTCTTGCACCTCTCCTGAGGCAGGAGAAATACAGCCAACTCTGATTACACAGATTTGTTCCCAAATGCTCGTTCTCTGGCAGTGACCTGGAGCCCCACCGGGCCCTCCCCACGGTCATTAGTGTTTCAAACACTTGGCTTCCATCCCCAGCACCGGAAAAACAAAATCTCTAACCCCACCATTCTGAACCCTAGGCTTCTCTCTGGGAAAGGGACATTGTGTCCCCAGGGAGGAAAAGCTCTAGGGCCTGAATTGTCACCTCTCCCCGGAGGTCACCTGCCATGAGCTCAGCAACAATGTTGGACCCTACTGTCCCTGGGGTTGCAGAGTCTTGTGTTTACCCTTTCACCTGCAGGCCCCAAGACTTGGCCTTCGGGGTACTCAGCTTCTGCTGGTACATCCCTGAGTTCCCTGCAGGGAGCTGCTGGCTGTCACAGGTACTTAGGGATCTTGTCTTGGCCAGCAGAGTGTAGCTCTTTCTGAGACAGGTCTCAGGGCTTTTGGGAGCACCTCAATAAAGGGTGTTCAGGCCTCTTATCTGGTTGCAGGAAGTCCTTGACCCTCAACGTAGTCTGCCTGGCAGTGAGACCTCCACAGAGGAAGGCAGACCAGAAAAATACCCAGGACTCGAAGAGAGCAGCATCTGAGGCTGACCCATCCCTGAGCAACTGAGGAACACACATTCATAAATCAGCTTTGTTCAAAGCTGGGAGGCTGGGGATGAAGCCGTAGAGCGCTTGCCTAACAAGTAGCTGGGCTTGGCCATTGACTGTGTGTCTGAGTGCGTGTAAGTGCGTGCGTGCGTGCGTGCGTGCATGTGTGTGTGTGTGTGTGTGTGTGTGTGAGAGAGAGAGAGAGACAGAGAGAGAGACAGAGAGAGAAAGAGAGAGAGAGAAAGAGAGAGAGAGAGACAGAGAGAGAGAGAAAAAGAGAGAGAGAGAGAGAGAGAGAGAGAGAGAGAGAGAGAGATATTCTGGCAAGTATATGCCTGGGCCCCCTATTTCCTACTTTTTAGACTCAGGATGGTTTTGCACATCATTCTGTGTACATTTTCAGCTCTCCTCCATGCTGCTTGGTTTCCTGAAGTGGGAACTGGCCCCCTTTACCTTTCTTTCTCCCAGAGGTGAATATCTCACTTGCCTCTGACAACCTCCCCCAAAGAGCCACACAAAGAGCTCTGCAAGGAGCTCCCTGGTGGGGCGGCTGATGGACAGGTGACAGTGCCACCTGCACCAACACAGGAAGTGCACAGTGGGCTGTGGGACGCACACTGACTGGCACTCCTGCAACAGTCCTGTCGACATCACGTTATGCCGCTTAGCAGCAGCACTGCTCCGCTTAGCCTGACTGGTAGACTGCATTCCCCTCCTCAACTGTGTGACGGGTTACCGTGCACCCAGGGGCTTGAAAGGACACCACTTTTTATCTCCTACTTGCTGAGGGCCAGGAGCTGGGCACAGCTTAGCTGCCTCCTGCCCTGGGGCTGCAACCAGGGTGTCGGCCAGGTGCTACCTGCACAGAGGAGCCCTTATGGAGCCCTCTGCTTCTGGGAGGTGCCAGGAGTATAAATCCATTCACACGGTTGGGTGACCATTACCACACCTGCCCATCCCTTGACCATAAGCTATGCTTGACTCACAAAGTAAGCAGCCAGAAGGTCACCCCCTTCAACAGAAGTTGACAAGTGAGATTCACTGAGAAGGAAGTCACTTCTTGACACCCATTTATCAAGAGGCCACAGCATGGCGCCTTCAGTGCAGTGCACAATTAGTCCCAGCCTACTGTTGGGAAGTCCACAGCACACCTGTGATAGATTGTACATGTGGTTTTGCCAGCCAGTGTCTCTTCCCTGCGAGACCCAAGCCTTCCATGCACCATCCCTGCTAGACCAGAATCCAGGACAGGAAAAGAGGACAGAGATGTAGACCCAGGTAAAATGGCTTCACACGCCACACCTTCTAGACACTGTGATTGGTCCAGAGGTGTTATGGTTTGATAACTAGTGGTCAACTTAACTCCAGCTGGATTACATTAGATTGAGAGAAGATGCTCCACCTGAGCAGGTTGCCAGGATAAATAGGTGGAGAAGAAGAGAGGTGTTGAGAGGGATTGAGGCATTATGGAGGCATTGTTGGTTCTCCTACGAGTTGCTGTCTGAGCTGTTGGTTCTCCTGGAAAAGCTTTGGTCTTCACATCGAGCATTGCTTCCTGGTTCCAGAGGGGAAGACATGTGCTGCCTGGTCTCCAGGATGAACTCCTCACGCTGCTTCCTGGCACGTACCTGACTGAGCTTGTCGTCGGAGGAGCTCGGGGCCTCTGTGTCACTGAGGACAGCTGTGGTGCCTTTCAGGACAGCCCCGCTCTTTGTTGTGAGTGTGACTTCTTGGCTCCAGTGTAGAATCCTCATCCCATTAGCACAGCTCCTTTATCCTGCTGGCATAGACTTTCTGGCTTCCACCGCTGACCCTTGGGTCTTCCTGGCACAGATCCGTAAAAGGGACTGGTGTGAGTCCTTCTTGTGGGCTCTGGACTTCCAGTTGGACTTGTGGAGGCGTTGTCCTGAGCTCTGGGTTTTTATCTGGACTCATGTGGGACATTGCTGTGGGGTTTAGACTCTTGACTAAATAATCTATGTCGTTAGTGTTGCGGATAGATTTCCTGCATTCTCCTGTGTTAACTTTCAGTGACCATTATAAAAATATTATAAACTCCATGTCCTGATCTGAATTGTTCTCTGTGTATAACCCTTGACTACAACAAGAGGGTAGAAGGTGATTTTGCAGGACCAATCAAAGTCTCCTCTAGAGTTTCCATTTGGATAATGGGGGACAGACATTCCTATCTAGGAGGAGGTTAATAGGGTGAATGTAATTTTTGGGCTGTCAGTCATTTTTTTTTAATAGGAGAAGTTTCAGGAGGAGCAAAGCTAGGCAGACACGAGCAGTACAGACAATGAAGGAAGAATCCAAGGATCAGTACCATTGTCTGAACACCTGTATCTAACTATACATGAAGCTGATGTGCATATAGTTTCTCCTTAAATGAGCCAATACATTGTCTTCTGCCTTAAGTGTATGTGGGTTGCAATTGTTGGAAAGGAAGAGCCCCAGTAAGAGGAGAACCCAAGAAGTCCATTACTCTGTTCACTTTAATGAACTGTGGTCACCAGGTCTCAACACAGTCTTTTAGGTCCTCAATCACCTTTTCTCAAAATCTCTTAGAATCCTAATTCTGTCAACAAGGCCTCTCTCTCTCCTTAGGTTCAGTCCAGGTTGGGCAGGCCAAGCCCAGATGTGCCTCAATCCTTCTCAGGGCCACGCTGGTCATGGTCAGTCTGCAGACTGCCTAAGAAAAGCATGTTTGGTCCTCAGGACCTCAGCTCTGGTGCAGATTTAAGGCAAGGCTTCTTTTTAAATGTCCAGATTGTAGGAAAACATCCTGACCACCTGCAAACACATTTTTTCCAAAGAAGCCACACCTCAGAGGACAGAACTCTGCCAGATGATGCCCTGGTATCTCACCACCACGGGGTGTTCCAGTCCACAGTGTTCCTGTCCCGCCTCAGAGCTCCCTGAGGACAGACCTGGAAGTAACTGAAGCTCAGCCACCCACCCAGAGAGTGTTCCCAGAACAGGGGGAACAGACAACATAAAAAAAAAGATTGCTTTGTTTTTTTTAGCTTTAGAATCTCAGTCCTCTTTGTGTCTGTGCTCTCTGGTACAAAAAGGTAGGAGAGGGCACAAAATGGGTTGTGCAATACTAGCAGGACATCGCAAAACTGGACACGTGTTAAGTGGACAGAAAAAGCCTGGATAGACACAAAAAGGGGGAGAGATGGCTACATCCTGAGGGTAAATCTAGGCAGTCACATCGGGAGTGTGGAGGCTATAGAGAGGGCTGTTCATCCGGCTTGTCACCTGGGGTCAGCAGGCTTGCACGTCTTTGCTTCCATGGTGTGACAATGCCCTCGAACCATAGAATGCTCTGGCAAGTCAGGTGGCCCACGGAGGAGGGGGTGACAGTGCGGGAACAAAGTGCCTTCATCCTCTCCTTCACTTATTCCAAGCTTCATGCCCATCGCTCACTGGTCTCCTGCTGGGTGCTGGGAACACAGTCAAAAGATGAATGAACCTGTAAGGCCTTCGTTCACACGGAGCTCAGGGCTGACACAGGAGTTTGATATTAATCAAATAACCTGGCGAAGAACACAGGGGCCAGAGGCCCAGCTGATGCCAGGCACCTAGCAGCTCTGGAGTTCTAATTAAGGAAAGAAAGTCTGCTGGAGAGGCCAACTTGTTTTTTTTAATCACCTTAGAATTGGCTCTAGTCGACATTTTCTCTCACTTTTCCAAGACCTTGGCGTTCTGCTACATTTCTAAGGCCTTTTAAAAATGTTTACACAGGGTCTTACTAAGTCGCTAAATTGCCCAAGCTGGGCTCAAATGTGTGATCTTCCTGCCTCAGTCTCCCACAGCGCTAGAATTACAGGAATGCCACATAATGCTTGGCTGAAAAATTTTTTTTGTTAGAATCTGGCTACAAATGATTCTTCGTCCCACTTTGGGGGCCCCAAGTCTGACAGAAGTCTTCAGAGATCCCTGCGTGGCCTGCAGGGCCTGTCTGGAAGGGGAACATAGCCTGCACACCATGCTCTGCGCAGCCTGAGAGGACCCGCCCAGAGCCAGGGCCCCATACCCAGAGTGCCTTGGACTGAGGGCGGTGCTACGGCGAGGGGCGGGCCTCAGACCCAGCGTGTGTTCCTATTGGCTCTCAGAGCTGCTTTACACCTGCGCACTGAGCGCACCAAACAGTTTTCTGTCCACTTCGGCGGAAGTGTGAGGTGGGTGCGAAGTTTAATCCACGGGAGCTGCTCCCAGGCAAGCATGGTCTGACCAGGTCCTGGGTCCTTCAGGGACCTTTCCGCATGGAAAACTGGGCCCGGTGGTCATTTGAGAGCAGGCGGGGTGGGTGTCTTTGTAGACCCAATGGAGTATAGGCCTCACAGGCCCATCGAGCACACGAGACCTCTGGGGTTCTGTTGTGGGGAGAACACTGGGGAGTCTGCTTAGTGCTGACCTTGACCTGTGTTACTTCACAAGGAGGTGGGGACAGGGACATGGAGGAGGGACTTTGGGCCTTGCCACCAAGGGGTCGCCCTTCTCCCCTTTGCCCTGGGGCAAGGGTCGCGGGGTGGGGGGACGGGGTGAGAGTGGCGTGGGGGTGGCGGAAGACTGGAGCCCAGCCTTAAAAGACCGGTCCTCAGTTGGCATGGGCACTGTGGATGCCAGTGGCTTTGTTTACATCCTTGGATTGAGGATACAAGCACGGGTGTGCACAGGGGCTGGGCGTGAACGGAAAGGCTCACTCTAGTGGGATAGGCCTGGCAGGCCAGGTAGGGGCCCCTGAGGTGAGACAAGTTGTAACCAAAGGAGTGGTCTTCTTGCGTCCCCATCAGACACTCTGTGGGGTGTACACACAGAGTCCCCCAACTCTTACATCACTTTTACAACAGCAGCTGGAAATACTGATTATTATATAACGAACTCTCCACTTTTTAAACCTTAGGCTTAACTCCTACGGTTTTAGCACATGTATTCAAAAGTATGTATGAAAACTGCGTCTGATCCTTGGGATGCTAGTTTGCAATCTCTGCAGTATGTGTCCTAGTGGGAGGAGGCATCTAAGAAGGAGCTACAGAGCCACAGAGGTTCCCATGGGGGAATTAGGTGCTAGACGTGTCCTAGAACTGCCTGCAGTGTGTCAGCTCAGTAATCACCTTCATTGACATTAGGGAGTCACCTCTGCCCTGACTTTTACTCTGCCCTTTTAGGGCTGGCACAGATTAGTGCAGTTAGGATTTGGGAGTGGGACAGGTCTAAGCCTGAGGCAGGGGCAGACACCTGGGTAAAGGAGGCTGTACTGCTCAGATTGCAGCCTTAGCTTAACTTCCCTGTGCCAGTGTCTGTGAATGGGGCTGTGAGAACATTTTAAAAACAGAATATCCAGGCTGGAATCATGATCCTATTACTCCATGGCTTTGTGGTTCTTTTTTATTTGGTTAGTGTTTTGTTTTGTTATTTTTTTTTTTGAGACAGTGTCTCACATGTAGTTCAGGCTGGCTCTGAACTCACTGTGTATGGGCCTTGAACTTGCAGCGATCATCCTGGCTCAGCCTTCAGAGTACTGGGATTGCAGGTAGGCACCACCATGCCTAGCTTTGGCTTTAAAGTTCTGAACTGAACTAACTGGACAGCAAAAGAGAGAGCCTGACTTCCTGGAGAGGAGGTCACAGTCATCTTGCTCCTCCTGCCTTCCTCCTCTGGGCATGCCAAGTGCACAGAGATGAGCACTGGCTCTTAGGACATCTATGGATGGTCTGGGGAGGGGAATGCTGAGCTGCGGTGCGAGGCTTCACATGGCTGCTTGCCCAGAGAACATGGACTGAAAACCTAAAGAGAGGGTGTCCTAGAGGATTCATGAACGCAGGGCCATGAGCAGGGTCTGGGGTTGGCAGGAAGGGAGAAGGTGGGATGAGGAAAATGTAAACATGTAGCCCAGCCTGCTGTCAGGGTTGAGGTGGGAGGTCGAGGTAGAAGGGATTTTAGGGCCTAGCTATTTGGGCCACAAGGGATTTGGTACTGTTTTATCGAAGGTGGATATTTGCCAGTCATAGGGATTGTTGTGGTGGGAAGTGGTACCATCTGTGGAGAAGCCACTTGAGAGTGGATTGAGTGTGAAACAGTCTTACCCTGTCCCAAACTGGATGACCCTTCCTTGTGACCAGGTCTGTGTGGCATTTCTCTGTGCTCTGAGCCCAGTTGTAAGGACCCCGGGCACTGTAAGGACGAATGGGTGAAGTGTTGTCTGGCAGACAGGGGAAGAGCAGTGGAGCAGGACCTGCTAGCCTCCTAGTGACCGTCCTGCTGCTCTCTGGTAGCCTGGAGCTGTCCTGCAGTGCAGCCCCACACTTCTCCTTGTACAGTAAAGCTCTACGTGTCTGCCACAGCCTGTCTGTGCTTGCAGATGGCAGGGTGGATACTGCTAGTTGGACAGCCAGTCCCCTGATGTCCCTGTGAGAAAGCCCCTGGCCTGTGACCTCCCAGGGTCTTTTAAGGACAACTGGCTCACTGGGGCTTTGAGCTGAACCAGCCCTTGGCTTTTTACGTCTGTCTAACTGCTGCTGGCCTGAGCATTGTCTGTCTGTTGTAGGATGGGGCCATAGGGGTCCTCCCAAGAGCTCCTAAGTTAGGGTTCAAACTCCATGTAGCTCCATGCTTTACCTTTTACCCAAAACTAGCTTCCTGTGGTGAGAGAGGTGCCTGCTTCCTAGACCTTAGAGACTGACATCGACACCATGTTGGAATCCAGATCCCAGACCCAGCAGAGCAGCAGCCACAGTGGCCCAGAGGTAGTGGCGCCCATTCCGACAGCCCTGTGCCCTGCTACCTTCACCCCTGTGACCCTTGTTCTTGGTGCCCTCTGCCAAGGACCTTGAATCCTCACTCTCTGTGGCCCTCTTGCAGGCCAGCCTGCAATCATCAGGCTTTAGTATGAAGCTGGAGGCTGTCACCCCATTTCTGGGCAAGTATCGCCCCTTTGTGGGTCGATGTTGCCAGACCTGCACCCCTAAAAGCTGGGTAAGTGATGAGAGGCGCACTTTCATCTTTCCTGGCCTGCACTAGGCCTCTGCTTTTGTCTCTGCTGGGAGTGGAGGCACTGGCATTGGATGCAGTTTTGGGCTTCCAGGGCTGAGTCTGTTGGCTGGGGAGGTCTTGGGGGGGCTTTGGGGGAGCACTAATCAAAAGGGCCTTGGGGGAACAGCTATGCCTGGAGGCCTGGTGTCTGTGTCTCACTGCACATGCTTCAGACACCCCTGCCTGTCCACGGTGGGTGCTGGTACTGAGGGGCTGCGGTTCCAGAGGAGAGCCAGGCTGTGAGTCCTCAGGGACCGTCTGTGTGCTGTTCTCCAGGAGAGTGATTCTGGGCAGCCTACGGGGTACCATTGTGAGCATGGAGCCGTTTTCCTGAGCCAGCATTAGGGCTAGGGGTCAGGCGCCTTTTGAGAGATAACTGCTATAGGATGATCCTTTCTTCTAGTAAACTTGAAAGGCCATTGGGCAGAGGCTAGAGGGGCAGGGCAGGAACCTTTCTTGGAATGTAGAGGCCACGCAGGACATACTGTCCCTGTCCCCGGGCAGGAGTCCTTCTTTCACAGGAGCCTGATGGACCTGGGCTTCTGCAATGTGATCCTGGTGAAGGAGGAGAACACCAGGTAGATGGGGCCGGGGCTAAGGGAGTGTGAGTGGGCAGGGCATTTGGGATGCCAGTGTCTGGGGCCCTGTTTGGGGTGCCATTTTCTTTCTTTGCTAGGCAAAGAAGGGTCCCCATCCTGTGCTCCATCTCCAACCTGGGGGAGGTGGGTTTGGCACCATCCTGCAGTTCGGTCTGTGAGCTTGCGTGTATCACCTACTGTGTCCCTCGGGGTGGGGGACACTGGGGCTGAGAAGACAGGCATCCCTCCATGGTAAATTGAACTCAGCTCAGGTGTTCTGGGGTGCAGCAGTGTAGTTGATCCCTCCTGATGAGGGGGGACCACTGTGAACTATCACCTCCCTACCCCGCTCAGGTTTCGGGGCTGGCTGGTTCGCAGGCTCTGCTGTTTCCTATGGTCCCTGGAGCAGAGCATCCCCCCCTGCCAGGATGCCTCACAGAAGATCATGGAAAGCCCTGGGTGAGGAGAGGGATCAAGGTCTGACTATCCTTCATATCTAGAGGGGCAGCCAAGGCTTAGGGCAAGAGGGCTGGAGAGGGCTGGAGAGGGGGTGGTGGTGCAGGGTTCCTGGAGTGTTAGCTATGCAGAATGTGGTACAGACTAGGGAACTCTGGGGAGTGTGCATGCATACTTGTGTGTGTGTGTGTGTGTGTGTGTGTGTGTGTGTGTGTGTGTGTGTCTCTGCATGGCGTGAGTCCGGGCCCACTCAGCCCAGCACTGCACCTGACCCCATAGGGTGCAGAGCCTGCTCTCAGGGACAGCTGCAGCAGGGGCTGGGGAAGGCCAGAAGAAGGAGGCCAGGCGCATCCTGGATCACATGCAGGCTCCACCCCGCCCCTTCCTGCTCAGGTGACTGTGCCCAGGGCCACTTGCTCTGAGCAGGGTTCTCTGCCCTCTGGAGAGTGGTGTTGGCTGGGCTTGGGAAGGGCTGGGCCCCTCTGGGAGCTGGGTGGGGTTTCTTCCAGAAGCGGGGTGGTGCTCGTAGCGGGTGTTAGGCACTGTTCTGGGGAGTAAGGTGTGAAGAGACACAACTGAAGAATACAGGGCAGGTAAGCCTGAGAGATTGCAGAGGGAAGAAGGAGATGGTCCCCTGAGGCCAGAGGGGAAGGAGCCAGCTGTGGGGGCACAGGCCTGGCAGTGGGAACAGGACAGTTTTGGGAGAGGGAAGGCATGGGGCATGGCGCTGGGCAGAAAGAAGCCAGTGTGGCTGGAAGCTGGCAGGGCAGAGCCCCTGGGGATGAATTCGAGAGGTAGAGGGACTGGGGTCATAAAGGGCCTCAGGGAAGTGCAGGCTGGATCTCTGAGGGCAGCAAAAACCCATTGCAAAGGTTAAGCGAGGAGTGGTTGGGGGTCCAGATAGAAAGCAGAAGACTCCTGCCTAGAACGCATCTCCTCAGCCCCACTGCTGTCTGTGGATGCCCATGTGCTGCCTCATGGAGGAATGGAGACCATCAGGTGGGGTCTCTGACCTCACAGCTGCCTGGTGTCACTTCCCAGGCTGTTTAGCTGGGCGCTGCTGCGGTTCCTGAGTCGCCTCTTCCTGAACGTGCAGCTGCACAAAGGCCAGATGAAGATGGTGCACAAGGCCGCCGAGGTGGTGAGCGGCCACGCAGGGCGGCAGGGCCAGGGCAGAGGCGAGGCCAGGCCACCAAGTCCAGCCCGTCCCACCGGCTGCCAGGAACATGCACTGTCCTTGGGTGCCCTTTCCTGCTGTCCCACAGTCCTGCCCCCTTGGGGCTTCCTCTCAGGTCTTCTCATCATGGTCCCAGCAACCGTCTGTCAGTGTGTCCTCACCCTGACAGTAGCTGGGAGACTGTTGTCCTTTTGGGAAATGGCTGAGAGGAGGGACTCCAAAGCTGTCTCCGCCTTCCCCGGGGTTGCTGTGGGGCCACTGGCTGGGGACAAGGTGGCATTGGCCTCTGGCTCTCCCGGAGCAGGGCTCGCCACTCATCTTCCTATCCACGCACAAGTCGCTCCTGGACGGGATCCTACTGCCCTTCGTGCTGCTCTCCCAGGGCCTGGGCGTGCTCCGCGTGGCGTGGGACCCCTGTACATGCTCCCCTGCTCTCAGGTAAGAGCCTGGGCTTTGGTTGTCTTGGGCAAAGTCCCAGGCTGGGGCAGGGCAGGGTGGGGTATGCTGACAGACCCCTCCTGCTCTCATAGCCCAGCCTCTCACCACTCTGGCCTCTGCCCCACAGAGCTCTGCTGAGGAATCTCGGGGGGCTTTTCCTGCCTGCAGAGGCCAGCCTCTCTCTGGATAGCCCTGAGGGGGCCCTTGCAAGGGCGGTGGCCGGTGCTGTAAGTGTCCCCAGGGCTGTGCATGGGCCAGGCCAAGGTATGGGCTCTGTTTCTGCCTGGGTCTTGACACCTGCCCCTCTGCCCCAGGCTGTGGAGCAGCTGCTGTTGAGCGGGCAGCCCCTGCTCATCTTCCTGGAAGAAGCTCCTGGGGCCCCAGGGCCACGGCTGTCAGCCCTGGGCCAGGCCTGGCTAGGGCTGGTGGTGCAGGCGGTGCAGGCAGGTGTCATCCCAGATGTTACGCTGGTGCCAGTAGCCATCGCATACGACCTGGTTCCAGATTCTCCAGGGGATGTGCACCATGTGAGTACCCCTGCCCTGGGGACCCCACGGGGACAGATACCCGCTTCAGGCAGGGGGCACTGCTTTGTCATGTGGCTGCGTCTCCCACGCCCCCCCCCATCCCAGGCATGGGCTTGAAGCAGGGAGTGAAGTGAGCCCCAGGGAGTTCTCCTCATCATCATTGTCCCTGGTTCCTGGTGACACCCTACCATCAGTCTTTTTTTTTCATCTTTAAAGTCCCTGCTGGGGAGGAATTTGTCCTGTTCTGTGGACGAGAAAACAAGCTTGCAGCAGGCAAGGCCCTGCATGATGTTAGGGGTGGAATAAAGTTTCACAGACTAGAGCAGGAATGCCTCTGAGTGGGCCACAGTGGACAGCAGGGCCTGTCCAGGTGCCCTTGCCAGGCTTCGGACTTGGCCTCTCCTTCCCTGCAGGCCCCGGCCCCCCTGGGGCTGTGGACAGGAGCTCTGGCTGTCCTATGGAGGCTGCGCAGTTACTGGGGCTGCAACCGCAAGGTCTGTGTGCGAGTGCACCTTGCCCAGCCCTTCTCCCTGCAGGTACGGAGCTAGCTGGCCATAGCCGGGAGGGTCTGGGGCTCACCTCCCCTGCCTTAGGTGGGCTGTGTGCAGGTGTCCTGGGGATCAGTGGCAGCCACTGAAGGTCTTATTCTGGGCAGGAATATACCACCAACGCCAGAAGCTGCTGGGGCGACAGGCAGACCTTGGAGCACCTGCTGCAGCCCATCGTGCTGGGCCACTGGTAGGGCCAGGTGACAGCCTTGGGCCTGTGGTCCCTACCCCGGGCAGTGGGCAGCCCTCTTCCCATGCAGCCTGTTTAATTAGAATGGTGCAGGGACTAGCCTTACCCAGTCTGGGCACACTGTGCAGCCAGGAAGTAGCAAGTTCTGAGAGTTATCCAGGGCTGGCCTTGGGCGGGGAACACACCTGCACAGTGAGGAAGGCTCCCCACCCCCTGTGACTGCAGGGGTGGTGCCTTTATTCTTTGATCTATGTATCTGTCCCAGTACCAGTGTCCCGGACACTGAGAAGGAGCAGGAGTGGACCCCAGTGACTGGGCCACTCCTGGCCCTTGGGGAGGAGGACCGGCTCCTGGTCAGGAGGCTGAGCCGCCACATCCTAAATGGTAAGGGCGGTGCTCCGGGCTTAGGGGTGTCCTGAGCACTCTGCTCTGTGTGGGCTTCCATTAGTGGGTCCTTCTGAGTGGGAGTGTGCGCCTGGCTCACCCTCCCTTGATGGCACAGTGGGGTCTTCCCCTGCCCTGGGGGGCACACAGGGTTGCCTGTGCTGATGACGAGCTGTGTGCAGGGCGTGGGCCCAGCTGTGGCCACCTGCCTGGGACGCAGCCCGCCTGGGGCTCACCCCCTCTTCTCAGCCTGCCCTGGCTGTTAATAGGAAGGGAAGAGGCAAGCCAGGGGTAACCCAGCACCTGCTCTGAGGGGCCCTTCAAGGGGTCTGCTGACAGCATCTCAAGTGCCCCTTTGGGGTGGAGACTGCAGGGTGGGGGCAGTGGAGCGACCTGGCAGAGGATGGTGGGATCAGGATCCTGACCAGCAGCACTCCTGACCCCAGCCAGCGTGGCGAGCTCGGCAGTGATGAGCACAGCCATCATGGCGACGCTGCTGCTGTTCAAGCACCGGAAGGTAGGGTGTGACATATGGGGTCCCTGGGTGTGCCCCTGCTGCCCACTCAGCACTGCTCTGCCCTCAGGGTGTGGCCCTGTCGCAGCTGTTAGGCGACTTCTCCTGGCTGACGGAGGAGATGCTGCTGCGTGGCTTCGACGTGGGCTTCTCGGGGCAGCTGCGCAGCCTGGTGCAGCATGCGCTGAGCCTGCTGCGGGCACATGTGGTCCTGCTGCGACTCCACCAAGGGGACCTGGTGGTGGTGCCACGGCCCGGGCCAGGCCTTGTGCACCTGGCACGCCTGAGCACAGAGCTGCTGCCCGCCTTCCTGAGTGAGGCAGTGGGCGGTGAGTGCCCAGGCCTCAAAGGTGGGAGGTGGGGGGGGCGTGGTGCATGCTCACAGCCCTTCTCCCCCCAGCATGTGCCGTGCGGGGGCTGCTGGCAGGCAGGGTGCCACCTGAGGGGCCCTGGGAGCTGCACGGCGTCGAGCTGCTGAGCCAGAGGGAGCTGTACCACCAGGTCCTGCTGCTGCTGCACCTGCTGCCAAGGGATCTGCTGCTGCTACAGGTCAGGCCTGCTGGCCTTATCCCGCTCTGTCCCATTCAGGGGAATGCCCGCTTTGCTGCGGAGCCCCCAGGAACTTGGCCTGCCCTGCCCCTGGCCCAGTCTCCTGAGGTTACACAGGTGCCCCTCTCCCCCAGCCCTGCCAGTCTTCGTACTGCTATTGTCAGGAAGTGCTGGACCGGCTCATCCAGTGTGGGCTCCTGGTGGCTGAGGAGGTAGGCAGGGCAGCTCCCCCAGGCCCCGTGCATGTGCTGCCCCATCCTCCTGTGCTGATGACGAGCTGTGTGCAGGGCGTGGGCCCAGCTGTGGGGGGACGGGGAGACCTTGCTCTACCACGCTGGCCCCAGGCCCTTAGGCTCTCACCATGGGTCGCACACTATGCCTGGGGGGTTCCTGCAGCACTCCTTGCCCCTGTGACTCCTGCCCACCAAGCTGTGGCCCTGCAGCTGGGCACTCACTTCCCATGCTGCACATGCGGTGGCCTGGTCTGGCTCTGGCATTCTTCCTGGCTCCTCAGATGCATTTCTGGTTTCACCTGCATGCACCCAGTATGGGGGCTGAAGGGCGGACCCCTGAGGTGCCTGTCAAGGGCCAGCGGCTCTCTTGGCCCCCAGACTGGGAGCTCTCGGGCTGCCTGCGACACAGGTCGACAGCGTTTGAGTGCAAAGCTGCTGTGGAGACTAAGTGGAGACTTCAGTGATAGTGACAGTGACGACTTCGAGGAGGCCCAGGGCCGGTGCTTCAGGGTGTGTTGAGAGGGGCCTGGGAGGGGGACCAGTGGTAGGGACACAGCAGCCACCACCCTAACTCCGGCCTGTCCCCCTCCAGCTCAGCGAGCAGTCGCGCTGCCCTGACTTCTTCATCTTCCTCTGTCGCCTGCTCAGGCCACTGCTCAAAGCCTTTGCCCAGGCGGCAGCCTTCCTCCGCCAGGGGCAGCTGCCTGATACCGGTGAGGCCTGCCTCCCTTGTGCTGCCCAGGGCTCAGCCCGGGGCCTGGTCTAGATCTCCTCTCCCGCAGAGTCCGGCTATGTGGAGCAGCTGTTCAAGTTCCTGCAGACCAGCGCCCAGGAAGATGGGCTGTTCGGTGAGTCCTGAGTATCCAGCCCAGGCTCCCAGAGGCAGAAGAGTTTGCTGGTGGCTGCTGCTCCCTGCTGGGCACTGGTAGCCTGATCTCCAACCCTGGGTTCCTCCTTTAAACAAGACAAGCTGTGCCAGGGGCTCCCTGCCCTGTCCTCAGGCCTCACTTCTCTCCCTCCAGAGTATGCGGACCCAAAGCTTGCCATGAGCGCAGTCTGGACCTTTAGAGACCTAGGGGTGAGAGGAGCTGGCATTGCTTCTTTCCTGCCCCCTGCTCCTGTCCCAAGCCATGGAGCTGGCCCTGATGACACTCGGAGATGGATATGCTCAGGAACAGATGTGTGCTGGGGCACTAGATGGTTTCCCAGCCCTGGGCCTCCTAAACCCCTGGCTTCTCTATTCCCGGGAAGGGCAGCAGGGAGGCTGGAGACACATTGTAGTGTTCCCAGGGAGGCCACCTATGGGTCCAGAGGTATCTGCACAGGCTCAGCCCTGAGCACAGTTCTCATGGCCTGTGTGCCCACCAGGTACTGCAGCAGACACCTGGCCCTGCGGGCCCCCAGCTCAGCCTATCCCCCGAATTTGCCAGCCAGGACAGTCAGGACAAGCTGGAACAGTTCATCCGACAGTTTGTGTGCAGCTAGATCATGGACAGAGCCTGTCCCCAGCTTCCTTGGCCTGGAGCTGGAGTCGTGCAACAGTAAAGTGTGTGGCCGCACTGGCTCTTGCTGTCTTTGTCCTGGGGCGTGACAAACCAGAGCACCAGGCAACACCTCTCTCCCTAGGGCGTGTGTGGCTGCTCCTTCCCTGGCCCTGAAATTCAAAGACCATCAGCAGCCAGGTTGTTGCTCTGCTCAGTACGTTTATTGCAGAGGCTTCCAGCTTCCTCCCAGCTGTTGAAGGGCAGCCTGGGGGAGCCCAGCACTGGGTCGGCAGTAGGTGGCCATCCCGTGCCACTCTGGGCTGTGCGGGAGCCGTCACACCACCTTGTTGACAATGACCCCAAGTTCTTCAATCTCGCACTGGACTTCATCCCCCTTCTGCAAGAGCAGGCGAGAGGGCTCAGCACACACAGGCCTGTGGGACCTGCCCAGCCCTCGGTCTTCACCCCGTCCCTCTCTTAGCTAACCTACCTTGAGAAAGACGGGTGGCTTCCTGAACATCCCCACGCCCGGAGGCGTCCCAGTCAAGAAGACGTCCCCCGGGTATAGGGTGACAAACCTACGGCAGAGGGGAAGCACTGGTGAGACACAGGCCGGGCCGCAGGCGGGGCTGGTGCAGACACCCACCACTTACTGGGAGACCCAGGCTACGAGCTGCTCCGTCTTGAACACCATCTGCTTGGTGTTGCTGCTCTGCACCAGCTCCCCGTTCACGCGGCAGCAGATGCTCAGGTTGTGCGGATCTGCAACACAGCAGCGCTGTGGGGCCACCCCACTTCCTTCCCGAACCCTCCCCACCTCACCCCTGCCTGCAACCTGGACACTGCGCCCACTTCCCTGCCACCCTCAGGAGTAAAGAGTGAACAGAAATGCCCGGTGGTTTTGCCTTCAGCAAAACCATAGTGGAGGTGGGCAGAGCTGTAAGGTGACTTCATGTCCACAGCAGCAGGGGCAGGGAAGCCACATGAGTCTGCCACAGGCAGGCAGCGGCCAGCCCTGGCCAAACAGTGCACCTCACTCCTTGGTGGCAGTCCATTCTGCCCCCAAAGTGGCTTGCTGAAGACTGCATGGGGTCCCAGGAGGCTGGTGGGGGCGTGGCTCACCCTGTGGCCACCGCACCATTCCAGCAGCTCTGCTTTAGCCCTGGGTGTGCGGTGATTGGGTGAGAGCCTGCTGGAGCCTCCAAGTCTCCCTCCATCTGGAAAGTGAGTGGGCCTGGTGGTACCCAAGCAGCCATTCTGCAGGATGCCTGGGGCCACCTGCGCTTCCTCCTAACGCAGCCTGTTCCGGCAGCCCGGCCCCCCTCCCCTGCAGCTCTGTTCTGTCGTTCACATCACGAACATGGCCCACCTCTACTGCAGTCGCGTCCCCTGTCCAGCACAGGAAGGATGCCTGTGGGAGGATGCGGGCCGGGGCTGCAGCTGCTCTCTGCTTCCTGCACTACTGCCTTCTGACCCCGAGTGCCTGCCAGGGACAGGCACAGGTGGCAAAGACCGGGGACCTACCTGCTACACTGTCCTTGGTGACCAAAGCGGGGCCCAGAGGGCAGAAGGTGTCAAAGGTTTTTCCCAATAGCCACTGCTTCCCATTGCGTCTTACTTGCCAGTCCCGAGCACTCACGTCATGAGCCACGGTGAAGCCTGCCACATGAGCCATGGCATCTGTGGCCTAGGGGGCAGGGATTCAGCTAGACAGGCTATATCATGGGTGACAGTAACCCCTAGAACAAGATCCCAAGGCCCTAATCGCACATTAGCAGCCAGAGTTAGCCAAGGTGGGGCAGCAGGCGCGGCAGCACTCGGGGGCCTGGGCCCTTCCATCTCACCTGGATGTGCTTTCCTTTCTTCCCAATGACGAAGGCCAGCTCCACCTCCCAGTCCACCTCCTGCAGAGCAGGAGAGGGTAAACTGTGGCAGCCCGAGGCCTATCCCTGAGGCAACAGGTGGAACACCAGACCTCGGGGGGCCTTGGCTGCCAGCTCTTGTCTGCAGTCACCGTGACCAGAGCCAGAAGAATGACAGGGGAGGCATGACACACTGACCCCGAAGCTGCCACACCTTCCCCTGTGACTAGAAGGGCAACATATCAGGAGGATGGCATTTAAAAGCCACTCTTGAGGCCTCCTACAGAGGACGGTACTGTCAGCCACAGCAATGATAACCTGTGTGTTGGAGCTCACTGCTGTAACGCGCTGGCTTGCTTTAGTAATAAAAAGATCAACATCTCAGCACTGAGGCAGCCGAAGAGCTAAAGTAACAAGACACAAAACAACAATACTTACGGTTATGAAGGACGAACAAATGTTCATTCTTCCCAAATTGGCAAAATGCCATTGCTAAGAGATAAAATTAGCTGCTATTTCTAATGTAATAACCAGAGTTGTGTAAGCACACCTTACCCCAGGTGCCAGTCTCTAAGCCCATCCCCATGGGAAAGAACCAGGGAATGCCCAATCCCAGGTCCAGGGGAGGCCGGGTAACAGTACCACTGGCAGGAAATGCTCAGGGCAGCAGGGTGCCACACCACGGTCCTCCAGGCCAAACCGGCTGTGAATCGAGTGTTAGGGTATGGATTGCAGTAAACATGAATGAGAATCAGGAGTTTACCATGAGATGAGACAACTTTTCTTCACACAAGAAAGCCAGCTAATACAAGTAGAAGGCGTAAGAGAAAAATTGTCGACCTCCCAGTGCACACATGGATCTAGGAAGGGGTGACATACGGTCTCTGGGTGGAAAGCAGCACGGCAGCAAGTCATTTGACACTGAGCTACCATCCCGCACCAACCGGAAGATGAAGCTTCCAGAGACCAGGCGAGTGGTCCCATCCGAGGGCCACCTGACAGGAGCCTCCCAGGGCGGTGCGAGCAGAGGTACACACTGTTCCCTGTGCTGCCCTTGGCAGGAATGTTTATCCTGAATCTTGTCATGGGGAAACGAGAACTAGAACTGGGATATGCTGTGAGAAAACTTCAGTGGATTTTTCAGGAAAGAGAAGGCCACAGGGATGGACATTGGGGGTCAGCAAACTACAGCCAGCTTTGTGCCCCCTTTTCTAAACATGTCTCACCAGAATCCCATGCTCATTCCTGCAGGTGGGACCCCTGGCAGTTTTCATGTGGAAGCAGCAGCGCTGAGCTGCTGCAGCAGATACCTCCTGGAGGCCGTCATGTACCAGTCAGCCTCCAAGGAAAGCTCTGCAGCTCTGCTCCAGATAACAGCCACTCAGCAGCTGCACCGAGAGCAGTGTGTGGGTTTGGTTGCTCCATTATTGATTACCAAAAAAAGTAACCAAAGGAAAAGCCATCCTTGGGGTAACTGGGCGTCAATGTTCCTGGCTGGGAATTGGGACAACCAGCATAGGTATTGATCATGTTCGTGTTCATTTTCTTAGTTGTGATAATGTGTCACATCATGCAGGCCAGCGTGCCTACTCTGACAGAATGACCTTAATGTCTGTAGCTCCCTTTCAAATGTCTCTCCCTCCAAAAATTGTATTTGTTCACGTGGAGAGAACAACGAAACAAATACAGCAAAATGTTAGCAGTTAACCCAGGTGAGGCAAGTCTGGGCGTTCATTGTATGACTTTTTTCAACTTTACTGTCATTTCCAAAACATTTATAACTTAAAAATTTGAGAGAAAACCTAACCATTATTATTAAGGGTATGTGCACTTTGGGTAAGTTGCTTGCATATATATTTTTTTATTTTTATTTTTTCCTGCTATCATAGACATTGAAATTCTAAGACTTTATTCTAAGGAGAGAATCATTTGTGGATGTGCAAAGCCTTTTCTATGTCAGGTGATTCAATGCTACAATAGAAAGCCCAATGCAAGTAACAAGTCCAGCAACAGGCATCTGGTGAGGAAACCACGGCTACTGGCCCAACAGAAAACCACATGGCAAGCTAAACTGCGGGAGAATTTGTGGCCCGAAAAACACTCCTGGCGAATTCATAAGTAAAAAGTAGGTATAGGCAGGAATGGGAATACAGCAAGACATTAATACAAAAAGCCCTACTCAGAAAGGAAAGAAAGAAGCCCTAGGCCAGGGAAGATGGCTTTCCAATGAAAATGTGACTTTTACAATCAGATGGGCATTGATGAAGGCCTTTCCTGCAGGAGACCAGTGATATCACCATATATTCCTCCCCCCGTAGATTGTTTCAGGCACTGATGGGACTCCTGTAGGTGGTCAGTGGCCTGGTGAAGGGCCTCAGTGACCTGGAAGGCGAGGGGACGTGCTGACCTGGCTCTCGGGTGGCAGGAGGATATCGTCGTAGGGCCCCACGATGGAGCTGCCAAACTTGCTGAAAATGATGGGCTCCTTGGGCACGGGCACGTTCTGTTCTTTGCAGTGGTCCACGTAATTCAAACCCACGCACACCACTTTGTCTGGATGTGTGACTGGGGCCAGGAAGGTCACCTCTGACCGTGGGAGGACTGGCAGCTGCGCAGCCAGGGCCCTGAAGAGACCAATCAGGAGGGGGCAGGCTGGGGACATCCTGCAGCAATTCCCAGTGCTGCTTTTTAGGATGCATCTTCTAGATCTATCGACTGTCAGCAAGAGTGTGAAAATCAAGCCCAGCTACAGTCCTTTGATATGAGCACTGTTATTTGTCCAGTGTTTCTTTCCTTTCCCTAATTAGGTAATTTACATCCATGCAGGTGAGTTCAAAATGCATGAACAGAGCCAAGTTGGGTCCCAGCACTCAGGAGGTTGAGGCAGGAGGATGGATGTGTGTTCGAGGCCAGTCAGGGGTACATAGGGAGATCAAGACCAGCCTGAACTATGTAGCAAAAGCTTGCCTCAAAACAACAGTAACCACAAAAACCCCCACAAACAATAATGAATGGAGCCCAGTATGGTGGTACATGCCTGTAGCAAGAGGACTGCTGTGAGTTTGAGGCCAGCCTGGGCTATAAAATGAATTGGAGGCCAGCCTGATCTGCGTAGTGAAATCTTGTCTCCAAAAGACGAAAAAGAAAAGAAAAGAAAAAGAAGAGAAAGGTCTCCTTTACCCCTTCTAGTCACCCATGCACTTCGCTGGAGACAGCTCTTGTGTTTGGGTTCGTTCTGAACAGCTACACTATGAACTGCTTCCCTCACCTTTTTGTATGCAAATAATAGCACAATATGTGCCTTTTAAAAGAACTTGGTATAATCTGAAGATCTCTGCATAACAATGTATAGACCATTTCTTCATTTTATTTCTCACGGCTGTACATTGCTGCTCTGTAGCAATCACCCAGTTCCCTAAAGAGGGGTAGCGAAGGTGTTTTCAGTCTTGCAAGAATATGACAGCATGGAAACATGCTGTCACCAAGGTCTTGGGTTGTCAAACCTTTCTATTTCTGCCAGTTTAGTAGGTGAAAACAACATCTTAAGTGTTTTTAATCTACTGCTCATCAATACTTCAGGTCCGGTCTTGTATAGCTTCTGGCTGCAGGGACGCCCCCAGTTCCTCCAGCTCAAACTCAGGATCCAATTATCATGGGGAAAAGCTCTCTGCAGTCTCCTTTCCTCTAAGGATCCAGGAGTCTAAACCACTCCCCAGGTTCCCAAGATGACTCTGTCTTAAGCCCCCTTGCTCCAGACAACCTCAGATGGGCAGAGACTTAACTCCCTAAAAATATAAAGTCCGTACGCCACCATCCAGTGTAATCACCTTCCCTGGGCTGCAGTTCCTCCCTCTGTAAGTTGAAGATGTTATATAAAATTCCTAAGGCTCCTCACTAAGAACAAGTGGAAAAGGAAAAATGGGCAAGCTGTCTGCTCCTTGGCAAAAGGCTCCTGGCTGGTTCTCTTTCCCAGGGTGGGGAGGCGGTGGAGGAGGGAAAAGGAGGCCGAGCAGCAGCTGCAGAACGCTGCTGCCCACCACTTTACCTTCTTGCCACGGACAGGGAGGCCTCTCCCTGCTCCAGGAACTGTATCATTGTTGTGGGGAGTGTGGGGTCAAAGGCATTGAGGTCAATTACGTCACCACCACTCCCTGACTCGAGGCCCAGGCGAGGCCCTGCCAGGTGCGGTGCCTGGAACTGCACCAGTCTCATGTTTCTGCAGGGTTGAAAGGGCTTCTGAGCCTGCAGCAGAGCTGTGAGCAACCTTCTCCTACCAAAGATCAGCATCAGCACCTGTGCAGAAAACAGACACGGAGGAAGAGAGTTCAGAATTACTCGGGATCCTTAAAATTCCTGGAGATGCAGCCCAAGTTCTTTGCCCCAAGAAACATTCCTGGCAAACCACATGGTAAGACGTCCAAGTCATAAAATGTTTCATCCTTATGATAGATTATACAGCAGTGAGTACTTCGTGTACAAAGTGACTCCTCCTGAGGAATTCGTCTTCCTCTGCCAGTGTTTGCTGAATGACTGCAATGTGCAAGGCTGCTGCAGGTCAGACTCAGCCCTGCAGTCCCACTTACAGGGGGAGACAGATGTTAAGACGTGATGTAAGCAAACTTCAGCTAATAGAACTGCCTCCTGCATTCTTTCAAGTGCTAATTGGTTAGCGGGTTGCCCTCCACCTTAAGATGCTTTCCATTGCAGACATGCTCAAGCCTGAACCTCTGCCAGGCCACTCAGCCTCCTAGGATCAGCTCCTGCCTGCCTCTGCAGATAGGGATTACTTGGTTTTTGATGCTGGGCCCAAGTTACAATGCAATCAGTTGGACTATGCCTTATAGACATTCAGGGGCAACATCTCTTTCACTGTCAAGTTGACAGTGCTTAGCTCTGTTTTACAGCCACAGAAGGTTCATAGTGATTTTTCCATGATCAAATGACAGAAGCAAGGGCTTGATTGTTCATTAAGGGAGAGGTTGTCCTTTTCTCCAGCTGTCAATTCTCTTATTTTATTCTTAATTGGAGTCCAGTCTGCACTCTTCACCCACTCCCTCTGCAGCGCAGCACCTTGCTTTTAAAAACAGCTCTTCATACTAAAAAATGTGGAGGTAGCGCTCTGAGGCACTGACTTGCACACCCAGCTAGCTCAACCTGCCCTATCTAGTTAAACATTCATTAGACTCAGCTTGCCAGCGTGTTGCTTTGCAAGTGTGGTAAAAAACAAACAGGAGCTTTGTGTCTCTGGCCCTGTTTTCTTACACAAACACCAACTATACCACTGTCAAAAGGCTTCGTGAGCCATAGTGTATGTGCTTAGACGCTGCACCCGCTAGAATAACAGTAATTCTGTCCCCTGGGTGCCAGGTATTGTGGTAAGTGGACTACCTGTGATATCTGGGTTCTTCCCCTGACAACTGTGGACAACACATTGTACAGATGAAAACAGTAAGAAGGCATATGGAGTTTGTTTACGGCCCAAAGAGCTAAGAGTACAAAGTGCTACTAATGGAATCTGTGTCCAGGTGACATCGAAGTTCTTGATGACACCAGGTGTCATTGAAGTTCTTCAGAAGCCAGCTGGACAAGCAAGAGAACCTAGCTTCAACCTGTCCCCACTTCCCCAGGGCACCACTTCCAACGGAAATCCTCCAGAGGTCCTAACTGGATTAGCCCAGCCTCAGGGCAGACTGAACACTTGCACTCCTAGACAGCACCAGACCCGTGATGATAGGTCACCTGCGGCATCACTGCACGCTTACAATGGTCCCTCGGGTGCTCTCCTTCTATGGAAGCTGGCACCGATGCTTAAAGAGGTAAAGCTTCCTGTCAGAGTGCCCCGGTGCTCCGTTGTAATCTTTATTCCCCACACCCCGAGCTCAAAGCAACTCTGCAAAAGTGTGCCTCAGCAAAAATGCCGCGACTGGAGTGGAAAATGCACAATCTTGGCGGCCCGACTCTCGGGTTTGCACCTGAGACTTGTCCCGCTGTGCACTAGCTCGGAAGCCAAATCGGTCTTTCCGTGTTCAGATGCCCAACTGCACTCTATGCAATGGTGGGGTCAGAAGCAAACGGGCCACCTGCGTCCAGCTGTGTCCTCGCCAAATCATCCTCCCGGTCTGGCCCGTACCCAACCCACCTGGCCCCGACGGCCGGGCCTGTCCGGCACCCTTCACTGTGGGGTCGGAGCGCTAGGAGCCGGAGGTCAAGGCCAGCGGGTGACGCGAACCCGGCCAGCCCAAGGACAGCACTTGGCGAGACAGCGAGACACCACTGAGGAAAACGCGACGCATAGTAATGACGTCACGAGGCGGTGGCCAATAGACGGGCGCTTGGTTCTTCCCGGAAGCCGCCCCGCGGAGGGGCGGGTTCAGAGTGGAGCCTAGATCTCTTCCGGGAGTCCCCGGACTGGGGGATCTGAGAGTGAACTCTGAAGTTTTGCGCCCTGGGCTCTAAATTGACCTCTATACCGGGCGTCTTTCTGATTTTTTTAGCAAAAAGTAGTGGAAGAGACCAAGTTCTAGCATACTGGTGAGCATAGACAAAAGTTTTTATCTTTTGACTCTGACATGTTAATAAACGTTGGGATAGTTCTATTTATTAGTCTTCCTCTGGGGAACCAGAAGTGTTTTGTCCAAAATAGTAATGCCAAAATTCTTGACCTCTAAGTCCAGCGGCTTCCACCCACTCAGCAGCCCTGGCTTCTTGTGTTCTGCCTTGGGCAAGAGTGAGGTGGTGGGGGAGTGAGGCATAATCTTCTGTATAGAGAGTACTCATTCCAGCCAAAAGGTTTCATTACACAGAAGGTTAGGACCCAATTCCCCAGCCCTCCAGCAAAAGTCCCTGGCAAAAGCCTCTAAATTAAACAAGGCTCACAGAGACCACAAAAGTCTTTCCTTGCGCTGTGAAGAGGTCCGGACCGTAGCTAAGTACACAAGAGGATTGGAAGGTGCTCACCCAGCATTCATGGCCAGGCCTCTGTTTGAGCTGTGTGACTCTGGTCACTCCCAGGAAAGATGCTAGGCAAGATGGTCCAGATGAAGGCAATGGGGTTTTGGTGTGTGGCAGAGATGGGGAGTGTTTGGAGATGACCAAGAGAAAGATTTGTCAGCCTTCAGTGGTGACAGGGGTTGGATGTGGAAGGGAAGGAGGCAACAAGACTGGCTCCTGGGTTTCTAGGCTCACAGATATCTTTGCCATTCATGGATCCTGGTTTTCAGGAGGGGCTACTGGCCTAGAGAGAGTGTGAGGAGCTCAGACTTGGACCAGTCGCTTGTAATGTGTTTATAGGACATCCACAGGGCACTGCAGTGGAGATGGTTGGGGACAGGGTCTGAGGCTTGGGCCTCCAATGTTCCTTGAAGAAGGACAGGATAAAGGCAGAAATAGTATTTCTGTGTGACTAGCTGTGTTTTGTGTGAGGAGAAACTCATACAAAGCTTTTATCAAGTTATAGTCCCAGACATTCTGAAAAAAAGAGCTACAGATTAGACAGTGAAAGATTGCATCCAGAATATAGAAAGAACTCTCAGAAGTCAGTAATCCAGTTGAAGAGATCATTTGACAAAAGATTTGAATAGATAACTTCGCCAGGGAAGATACACAGAAAATTGGACACAAAACAATTCTTACTGCTGTACACTAACAAAAAGAGTTTCATTATATTTGTATTATACCAAAATACCTGTAATGTGGCCTACTGTTCTATATGTGTGGTTTTTTTCCCTCTGGGTGACCTAATTGATAGGTTAATCAATGCTCTCCTCTGTAAAGAATTGTAAAACCTAAACTAATTGATATGTTAACCATCGTTGCCCTCTATAAATAAGAGAGGTGGTGCTGAAATAAGCTAACAGGGGTTGTTAATTACTGCTAGACTTCTCTATCCTCTGCTAAGGAAAACAAAGGTCTTCCTCATTAACAGATTTCTTGATCCACGCCCACGACCCCCTTACTTTGTAAATTGTGATATATACTTAAAGGTGGCAAATATAGAGGAGCAACACACAGCTTTTGCAATCTCCAACTGCACTGCGTCGCTGGGCCCAGGATAAAATAAATCAGCACTGCTTTTTAAAATACGTTTTTGCCTCATTTTTTGAACTCGAGTTTGGGAGCTCGTTTGTGGATTACAAGACTTACCATCATCGGTCATCACAGAAATGCCAATTACAACTGCACTATAATGACATTGCACACCTACACACTGATCATGACAACTGTTGGCTGGTGTTATGGTTTGTGTCTAGATGTCCCCCAAAGCCTCATGTGGTCATGGGACTTTTTCAGAGGTGGCTGAGCCTAGCGTGTATGATACTGGGATTAAATGTGTGATTAATAAATCAGTCCACTGATTGGTTTGGCATAGTTCTGGCTAGGATTAAGAGTGTGAGTGCTACACCTGCCCTAGGGCGGGTAGCCTGCATACAGTATAAGGGACAGAAAGTGTTTTGTCTCAGCCCTCTTATTGCTATATTGCTCACTCAACACCGTGAATATTTTTCCTCTGTGAGGTCTGTATCATGCCACACTGCCTTGGAGCCAGCCAACCCTGCAATGAAACCTCTACCAACTGTGAGCCAAACAAACCTTTCCTTCTTCAACTTTGGATGCTGAGTATTTTGTCTTACCCAGGAGAGAAGTAAATAAGACAGCCAGCAAGTGGAGGCAATGGAACTCTCACTGCTGATGGGATCATAAAATAGTACAACCACTTTTGACAACCATTTGGCAGAATTTTTAAAAAGTTAGTCATATACTTATTGTATGATCTAAGCAGTTCCCTTCTGGGAATTGACAGTGTAGAATTTTACCTTAGAATTGTGACCCTAGATATAGTGAAGATTAAGAAATCTCTCCATCATTTGTGTTCCAGGAAGCAATTTAGTGGAAAAAGCCACCTTTTCCTATATGCCTTGGATAAGACTCCAGACACTGTAGGCCAAACATAGACCCTCCAAATTCCCAGTATGTCCCCTATAAGTGATTGGCTGGACTGTTCATTCATGTTGATCAATTGTTACAAGTTGCCTGTTAACAAAACCTTAGTTTAGATTCTCTCCTTCCTCAAGACCCCTTCCTTGGTTTACCCTCAGCCTGGGCCAGCCCACAGCCTGCTGCGAGGGAGGTTCATCTTCTAAAACAATTCGTTTGCACCCTTGGTGATGTCCTTTATAACAGAATAGTAAACTTTCCCTCATGTCTGTAAGCTTCTCAAACTAGTCAACCCTGAGGAGGAGCTTGTGGGAACCCCAGTTTATAGTCAGTTGGTCAGCGACCTGAGGGTACGGCTAGCATCAAAAATTGAGAAAGGCAGTGTTAGGGGCCCAGCCCTCAACTCAGGGGGTCTGATGCTACCTTCAGGCACCTTGGATCAGAACTGAGCTGAATTAGAGGACACCCCATGGGGTGCACCACTGCAGAATTGCATGTTTGGAGTGTGATAAACCCTGAATATCTGGTGTCAGAAGGAAAAAGTGAGTCAGAGCTGGTTTCTCCATACTATCGCACGTCCTTGAACATTCTGTTACCTAAAAGGTAAAGTTAAGTGCTAAAGACTTGGATATGAAAGTGGGGAGAAGAGGCAGAAGATGTGGTTAGCACAACAAGTAAATATGCGTAGGAAACAATTGAGTTGAAACACCCACAGGTGCTGTGCTCCTCTCCAGAACTCATCTGGAGGTGCAGCTGTTGCCAGAGGCGGCTTCCTTCTCTCACGGTGTGCTCTGCTCTTCCCCTGCTTGTCCTCCCTCCCTCCCTCCCTCCCTCCCTCCCTCCCTCCCTTTCTCTCTCTCTCTCTCTCTCTCTCTCTCTCTCTCTCTCTCTCCCTCTCCCTCTCCCTCTCCCTCTCCCTCTCCCTCTCTGTCTCCCTTCCTTTTTTCTGTTGTAGCAGTAGCGTGTGTGGCTGAAGGTTCTCCTTAACCTTCACAGTAACATCTGGCAGTACTCAGCAGCTCCCCAGAGAGTAAGACCCCACGTCATTCTTGGCTTCATCACAGCAACCATATTCCCCCGGAAACCAAGTTTTCCTCTTGGTGACTGGCATCATTCACTTCAGCCCACTCTCCTGCATGTCCTCAGTTGCGCCATTATGGCTGCCTCTATTTCCCTATCAATTCAACACACCAGCCTTCTATGGTTCTTTTGACTTTAGGAGAACTGCGCAGTGCCGGCTCCAGTGGATGTGGTGGATGAGGACTCACCATCGTGTTGTTGAGCCTGCCTTTCCACTGGATGGCGCTCGGCACTCACCCTCTTTTTGAACAGGTAAAGATGTTCCCAAAACAGGACTTGCAGAACTGTTTCAGAAGGGGCATGAATGATGGGGTAGGAGTGTTGAGGGGGGAGTGTTTCACGGGGCATTAGCAGCCATGTGGCCTCTACCTAATGCCTTCAAAATGTAAGCATGCAGTGTTGATCATGGCTTGTGCTCTGCTGTTTTCCCTGGCATACTGCTGCTTTTTGTGTTGAATGAATGAGTGAGTGAATGCAGTGATGGGCAGGGGTGGGGCCTGGGATGACCGCTGTGGGGTGAGGACAAGCTGCCTGTCCTCTCATACCCCAGTGGCCTGTTGCTTTTCTGCATATGCAGCAGCAGGGGATAGGGAAGGGGACAAGACGCAGACCAGAACCCTCTCCCTTGCAGCCCCTCTTGTTCTGCCTAGGAGAAACTTGACTTGGGCTGGGAAAGTTTGTCAACAGAGCGAGGGACTCAAAGATGTGGCAATCTCAGTTGGCTGTCAGAGACTCACTGATGATCTGCTGTTTGGGGCCTTATTTTTAGTTTCTGGATGTTTTACTGTATTTGGTGATTTTTCAAAGCCAGGAAGGAGCACTCCCTGGCTTGGTCTGCTGCACTCCTGGGATGAACACAGCCGGAGGGTGGCATGGTGGGGAGGAGGGGCTGGGAGCAGAGGGGTGGGGCCTCCAGGCTGGCTGCTCGGGTCAGAGATCTCTCGGGGAGACCCTGCCCTGGGTACTTGAGAGCTGGCCCCGTGACCAGGCCTCCTGGTCCCCAAAGTGTCCCCCCCCCACCCGAACCCCCCCAACTTGAGCTCAGCAGCACTTCCAGAGTACTCCCCTCCCCAAACATGCCAGCTCTCTGCCAGTGCTGGGACCCAAGGGTGAACACATGGCTCCTGCTTGCAAGGTGCCTGGTATCTGGCCTGGGTGACAGCACAGACCTGAGGGTCTGGTCACTTTCCTCAGGGCCCACTGGGGCCTGCAGAGCAAATTCACACCCTACAGCTGACCTTGGCGTGAGCAGTTGAGAATCCAGTCAAACATTCAGCTCCTACTAGCTTGGTTGGGGCAACTGGATATTCCTTCAGGGCTGATTTAAGTGAAAATTCCAGGGGTAGGGAGGCAATTGCTTAAGGTACAGCTGGACCCTGAGCCCAGGGGCCCCGTTGTCCCTGCTTCCCCTCAGCTTCTCTTGCCCCATCCTGGAGCCTGAGTGTTCTCTGCTCTGGTTTTGTTTTCATGTCTCCTCTAGTGACAAAACGGCACCACCAGCACCAGCACTCATACTCTCAGCTTCAGAGGGAGTTTCTTGTCTCAGCATTCATAGCATAGGCCTCCCTGGGCCTCCCTGTATTGGATCACATGGCTGTCTCTCCCTAAAAGGTGCCCAGGGGTGGACAGGGAGGCCAGTTCTAAGGCTGACACCCTTTGTGGGTCAGGCAGCTGGTTGGAGAATTTTGTGGGTTGGCTGCTCCATGGTTAAGTTAGGTGAGCCCCAGGTAGGTGTATGAGGAGATAACAAGACGGGGGACCACGTGGAGAACGAGGCCCAGCAGTGAAACGGCCTTGGGACCATTAGGGAAATGACATCTTGCTCTGGGGCACAGGCTAGATGAGGAGACCCGGTGTGGAGCAGCGCCCCCTGGTGGTCAGTAGCGACACAACACTTAGCAAATGGCGACTGAAAATCTGGGAAACCAGGATCCTCTGGGGCAGACAGGGCTTCCTCTCTCCAGGAGCCACAGAACGCCACGGGAAGGGCGTGGGCCCACTGGCCAACGACTCTGGGCCTCACTTCTCCCATTCCATGTCACCAGGGAGGCTTCAGTCGGGCCACTGTGAGGGCGAAGGACACTGGCCAGGCCCACACATGCTCAGGGCTCTCCCTGAGGGACACTCCCTGTCAGCAACTGGTCTGGTGGTCGTGCATTGAGTGGTGGGCACGTGGATGGAGAGTCGCCTACTGTGTGTGCCTGGCATAGGCTGACCTGCTGCCCACCCCCTTTAGCTCTTTGGACCCCTGGTAGCCCTCGGAATCACCAGAGAAACTGGAGACCATCGTAGATTTATTTCCAAGACCTGGGAGGCTCCTGAAACATCTGTACTTTCTCTGATAGCTCATTGTGATATAGGAAAACTTCAGTGACTAGAAAGGAAGGGTGTTCGTATTTGTATTTATTTATTTATGGAAGGCTAGTGCATATGCATACTGAATTATCATAATAGTCCCAGGGTGGACTGTTTTCTTAGTTTACAGATAAGGAAAACGGAGGCTCAGCAAGGTAGATAGGTATGCTGAAAAGGTCATGGAACTTCCTAGAATGGAAGGATGAGCCCTATGCCCTAGACATGGCAAGGCCTTAGAGGCATGGGGTTACCTACTGGGAGTAGGTGCTGGGGACACAGCTCTTCAATGGCTTTAAAGTGGGGTGAGGCGGGGGGAGGCCTTCCTCAGTCTTCTCCCACACCCACCACCCTGAGCGGTGCCCCAACCCTTCCAGCGCAGACTTCTGTGCTGGGAAATGGTCAGCAGAAGCACTGCCTTGGCACCCAGCCCTGACACCAGTCTCGAGGGGAAGCTGGCCAGGGGTGTGGCAGGGGACAGCCACATCCAGTGGGAGCAGGTGGACACTGCACAGGTCAGAGAGGTGCAGGCAGACTGCAGAGCGGGACCCTCACCCCTGCACCAGGATGCAAGGTGGCTGAGCTGGCTGGCTTTGGTACCTAAACTCTTGGGCTCCTTTAGACCTGGTTCTGTAAGGCAGGCTCTCCAGTGTCCCTGCTTCACAGATGAGGAAACTGAGCCACAGACAGACTGCGCATCCTGGCCTGGCCATATAGCTGGGGCATGGAGCACTGGGGTTTGAGACCAGCTCCAGGGTCCTTCGCCCAACGGCTCCCTGCAGGGCCCAGAGGGAAGCAGTGGCTGCCCTGTGTGCTGGAGAAAGACCCATGGTCCTCATTCCCACACTCTCATCTCTCCTCTGCCCAGAGTGCACCTGCAAGGTGGCAAGGACTCCCATCGCCTCCCCAGCCATGCCATCCGTCCGAGCTGTGTTCTCAGCCTGTGTCTTCCACCCGCCACTCCCACAGCAGAAGCAGGGCCTCCCTGCTGCACAGGCCCCTTACGATGTGAGGAGCCACAGGATGGTCAGTGCCTCATCACAGCCAATTCTGCCATGCCCTGGCCATGGCTCTCACCTCCCACCCCCAGCCTGCTTGGCACAGAGATGGCATGGGCTTCAGAGGCAGCCAGAGCTGTTTCCACCTGGCACTCACTGGCCTTGGTCGGGGCAGGCACGAGGCCCGCTGTGCAGTGCCTGACTCGAATGGAAGGAAAGCTCGTGGCCCTGTACGGTGTCTGCTTCAGAGACCCTCGTCCTCTTAAGGAAGGTCCTTACTGTCCTAATCATGCTCGCCACTGGGGGCCCAGTGTGTTTAATCCTTTCTGTGCACCTGAGCTACACAGGGGGCTCCCATCTCAACAAATAAACAAGCAAATACATTTAGCTGTGTAGTCCTGGGCGGGAACCACAGTGAATACCAGCTTGAGCCGGAGGGGCCAGCAGGGAGTTCAGTTGAGATAAAGCCAGCGGGAGTCCCTTCTTTTCTCAAGTTTATTTTATTAAAATATATAGGATTGAATATTGGTGGGCGCTGAGGACAGGAACCACCTTCCCAGGCCGCGCCCGAGCAAGACGCTCCGCCATGCAGACATGCAGCCTGTCTTGGCCCAGCGTGGGAGACAATGAGGGATGGGGGCACGGTGGCGACTGTCTCCTGCGGCCTTGGCCCCTGACAAGCACAGGATGCCAGGTGGGAGATCCCTGAGCCAGGGGAAGTTGCTCTCCTCCGCTGGAGGAGGGGAGGGGCCCCAGTCGACTGGAAGTGGGCGTCAGTGCAGCTCCTCGGAGAGGTACACCTGTGTTGGGGACCAAGGGCTCCCATGTCCTTGGCCATCTGCCTTTCCTCTGAGGGCCCCGCTCAGCTGGGGATGGTGTCCTGGGGATGCCCAAGGACACCAGGACCCGCCTGAGCAGATGTGGGTGGCCTGATGGAATGTGTCACATGGGAATGTTCCTCACTGCTACCCTCCATGGGCCTCCACACCCCAGGCAGGGCCACCAAACAGGGCCCCCAGGTTTGTGCTTCTGAATGTTGGTGAATGGGGGGGCTGAGAGTGGCCTTCCCAATTCCATAGTTTGGGGGCATTAAACAGACCCCCGAACTCCTTCCTTCGGCCCACTCAGGTTGGGGCTCCTGGGACCCAGGCTTCCTTTGGCCCCCAGGAAGGCCTTGAGAGACCCTGGCTCCCCCTCCAGAGCAGAACACTTGTGCTTTTGTAGAGGCTGGGATGATCCTGTGGGAGGGCCCTACAGAGCTCCAGTCCAGAGGCCCTGCCCAGCCCTCCCAGATTCCATGGCTGCTGGTCCCTGAGCCATGGCTCTTCCTCCTAGGACTGAGCAGCCTTGGGGAGAACAGCCTAGTACGGGGGGCTGCAACACCCTTCTTCCATTCCCAACCAGCTGAATTTGGGGTGAGCAAAAGCTTCTCCCCAAGGGGAAATGGCACAGTCTCCTCAGATTCTTCTAGAAACCCTAGCCCCGCCTTGGGAGCCCCTCCCCTCCTGGATAGAGGGAAGATGGTGCCCAGCGACCCTTACCACCCAAACTGGCTCAGAGTGGGTGGCCTGGCACTGGTGGAGCTCTCCTGGGTCAGAACCCCAGTCTTTGGGACGGGAGTCCCAGGAAGAAGCAGGCTTGGGCCTGTGACCACCTCTGTCCTAGTCTGAATCCCTCCATCTCTGGCTGTCCCAGAGCCCTGCAGTGAGGGTCTCTGGGACACAGTTCCTTGGGTAGGGAGTGGCCACAGGAAGAGGCCACAGGAACCCTGGGGTCCCCATTTGGTGGGAAAGGAGTGGCAGGGTTCTATGCTTTGGAGGCATCCTTTCAGGTGCTTGACCCCTTCCTGGTGACATCTAGCGACTGGCACATGGGCTGCCCATCCGGGAGGCAGCTTCCTTGTCCCACTGGTTTTGGGGACAGTTGTTGGGGGCTGCATCCCTCCTGACTGCCACCTTCTGCCAGCCTAGAGAAAATCTGTGTGTGTGTGTGTGTGTGTGTGTGTGTGTGTGTGTGTGTGTGTGTAGCAAACAGCTCACTTATCCCAAATGTATTGGAAAAGTTTTGGTTTCTCAAAGATGGAGCAGCAGTGGCCACCCAGGCCCGAGGTGCGTCCTAGATGACGTTCTCGAACAGCTGCATGGAGTTCATGATGTTCTCATCCTGCATGGAGAGAGGTGGAGAGGCCAGGTGTGCAGGGCTGGTGGGGAGGTTGTTTCCCAAGTCCCTCCCGCCCAGCAGGGCCCTGTTAGGGACCATGTCACAGTGGGCCAGCAGGGGTGCTGAGGAGCAGAAGCAGCAAGTAGCTGGTCCGAGGCTGATCACCTCCTGCATGTCCCCATCGGCTCCCCCATGGGCCACCATCTGGTCCCCCAGCCCCAAGCAGGCCCATGTCCAGCCCTCTCGAGCCACCTACCTTCTGACAGGTCTCCAGGAACTCCTCAATGGTCACCACCCCGTCCTGGTTCCGGTCCATTTTCTGTGACCCAAGCCAAAGCCAAAGTGAGTGTGTCCCCATGAGGTTTAAGTGTCCCTGTTGTGGTTTCTGTCTAGATGCCCCCAGAGCCTCATGGACTCATGGCAGGGCTTTTGGCCCCTGAGTTTTGGGGCTTAGAGCTGATTTGCTGTTAGGAGGTGGTCAGGGGCGGGGCCTGGAAGGGTTCATCCCCCTCCCCAGCTCCTCCCCCTCGGCTTCCTGGTCACTACACCGAGCAGCTCTCTGCCATGCCATCTGCCTTGGGGCCAGCTGACTTGGACTAAAATCGCTACAAAATGTGCACAAATAAACCTTTCTTTAATTGTGGGTGCCAGGTGTTACATCTCAGCAACAAGAGACTAAGACAGTTCCTGACACCAGTGTGAGGATGTTCAGTGCATGGGCTCCCTCCACCCCAGGGTGCCCCTCTGTCCCCACCCTGGATGTGCATGTGGCTGCCTCCTCAGCCATCTCCTGCCCATGCTGGCCTCCTGAGTCCAGCCCTGCTTCCTGGTGCATGCTCAGGGGACCTTTCACTTCCCTGACCAGGGCCACCAAGGCACAGAATGGCTTCAGTCTAGAGGCCCCAGCCAGGTGCCCCCCCAGACCCTGAGGACACAGAGCAAGAGGACCCCAAGGCCACTCATTTCGTAGCCTGTTTTCCTGGGGAGCTGAAAATGGCCCCCCTGAAGGCACTGGTGGGCCAGCTGCCTGGAGCCCTGGATCCCCAAAGTGGAAGAAATTCAAGGGTGAAACCTGGCTTTAAACTCCTGCCCCAGGGCATCTGGCCAGGATGGCTGAGCCTCTTCCCCTGCTGGGTGACCTGGCTCAGGGGCGGGGCTGACACACCTGGAAGAACTTCTCCACGTGCTGCAGGGGTGCATCCTCCCGCAAGACGGGGTAGGTGTGGTGGCCCATCATATCGTAGATGGATTTCATAATGGCCAGCATCTCCTGGGCAGGGGACAGGAGGGCCGGTGTGAGTTGGCTGCTGAGCCTCAGCAGGGTGGTGGCTTCTAGGGCCCCAGCAGAGGAGACTGCCTCAAAGGTCAGGGCCACCCCCAGGGCAAGCAAGAGGGGCCCTGTGCACCCCAGAGAAACCAGCTTGTCCGCTCGGGTCCAGTAGGAGACAGAGAGCAATGTGCCCATCCCCAAAATTTGAGCAGGTAGCAACTATTTCAGATACCAAGAAAAGAAAGAAAAACAGTTTTGGGGCCATAAAAAAAATCCATCTGAGGGTCTATGTCTCGAGGGCCACCTGCACCTCTGCCTTTCATGGGTACAGATGCTGTCCCACACTGTCCCACTCAAGGCCTCCCCTTTCTCCACTTGGCTCCCCAAGTCCCACTCCATGGCTGGGGTGGATGGGGATGGTGGCCAGGGCTGAGCAACAGGGAGGGGAGCCCGCTTGCAGCTTCACCCAAAAGCCAGGCTGAGACTCACTAGGATGCGGACAGAAGAGAGACAGGAAGAGAAATCAGGGGAGCAGCAGCAGGAGGGGAGCAGCGGCAGGCGGCCACTGCCCTACCCCCCCCCCCCCCCGTACCTCTTTGGTGATGTAGCCATCCTTGTTAATGTCGTAGAGATTGAAAGCCCACTTGAGCTTCTCATGGACTGTTCCTCGCAGCAGGATGGAGAGCCCGACCACGAAGTCCTGCAGGGAGAGGGATTTGAGGATCGAGGAACCAGCACCCCACTTCAGCTTTGCTGTGTGGGTTTACCGGCAATTCCCAGCTCTTCAGGCAGTGTGGAGTCTGTTCCAGGTGGGATACGGATGAGTGTGGGCATGCACTGTGTACCTGCACGTGTGCGTGTGTATGTGTGGGGTGGGGACCACATGGTCCTGATCTGGGGGAGCATTGTGCTCTATATTTGCAGATAAGATCTGGGTGCTCTTCTGATAAACGAGGGGCTCCACTTGTAGTTCACTGAGCATCTGCAGGTCAAAGGTGCTTGAAAACCTTCAAACTAAACCAACAAGGCTGAGCCGGCCCTGTGGCATGGCCACCATGTACCACTAAGGTGACAAGATAAGAACGGTTTCTGTGTTCCAACCCATGAGAGGGAAGGGAAAGAGACACGCAATCCGGGAGAAACAAGAGTTATTCCAGGAAAAAATATCTCAGTAAAAACTATTCAACTCAGAGATCAGAAATCTTACATCCTTAAAATAATAGGGTAGTATTATAAAGAGGAACAAAGCCAGGAGAGGTGGTACATGCCGGGAATCTCGGCATCCTGGGAGACAGAGGCAGCCCAGCCTGGGCAAATTAGCGATTTAGTGAGATCCTACCTCCAAAAGAAATTAAGCAAACAAACAAACAGATAAATAAAGGACTTGGGGTGTTTAGGCCAAAGCCCTGGGTTCAGTCATGCACGCACACATGCACCACACACACACACTCACCCAGAGCAATGACTGGAAAGCCATAGGTGAAGATGACACACTTAGAAGAGGGGTTGGAAGAGCAAGAACTTCCCCTGCGGTGCACCGAGGTAAAAAAAGTGCTGGAGACCGGAAGAGGACATGGAGCCTCAGCCCGAGAGACAGTGCTAGCACATCAGGAGACCCAGAAAGAACCAGAGAAAACGAAGAAGAAATCATGAAAGATTTCCCAGATGGGAGGCTTCCAGTTCCCCGGGGGCTAGGATAAGGCCTAAAATCATGGGCATTTGGGCCTTAGGCACAGATCATGGTGGATTCAAAACTGCCAGCCAAGAGAAGAATCTAGATGCTTCAGAGAGAAAAGCAAAGCTCAACAGAAAGACCCGCACTCAGGTCCGCGAACTGGATCTGATCACCTGGTGGTGGGCTTTCCACAGCACCTTGGGGGCAGGAAGCCAGCAGGGGGCTGGCAGGGAAGCACCAGGCCAGGGGACAGTTCTGCTCAGTGTAAAATGCCTGGCAAGAATGAGAACTAAGTAGAGAGACTTTGAGACTCTCAAAGGTCAGCTCCTTTATGGCTTGGGTCAAAAAAAGGCTCATGTGTACAGAGGTGGTGCTTTCAAAAGGCTGGCTCGCAGGGGCACCGCAGGCATCAGGGTCCAGCCACGGATGAATCCACGGTTGACTTCGATGTCAGGAGGGGAGCCCTGACTGGAGGGGGCGGGCAATCGAGGGCATGCCTTTGGACGGTGCTGGGATCAATCCTCGGCCTTTCCCCCTCCTGGCTTCCTGGCTGCCGTGATGGAGCAGCTTTCTCCCACCACATCCATCTGTCACGGATTTCTACCCTGGAGCCAGCCGGCCACGGAGGGAAGGCTCTGAAGCCAGGAGCCTCATTAAACCACTTCTCCTTCAAGTTGTGGATGTCAGGTATTTTGTCCCAGCAACAGCAAGCTGATGAATACGGGTCCTATTATCTTTTGGAGACTGCTGGAGGAATTTTTCCTGAAAAGAGAATAAATCCAGAAAGGGAGCCGAGGGGTCCCAAACTAGGGATGTTACCCAGAGGAGACAGGAAGCGTCGGGGTGCTCGGCCCCGGGAAGCTGTGGGAGGCCAGAGTCACATCCTCCATGAGGTGCCAGGTGAGAAGTTTAGACTAGAAAAGGGGCTGAATAAATGATGGGGCCATTGACAACTAGGCAAAGGAAGAATCACGGCTGTTGCTGAGAGCAGCAGAACCCAAAAGTGTGCGGGAGAGGAGCGCATTCTGTCAGCCAGCTGCAAGACTCTGGTGGGTGTCAGATTCACATCACCTGGGTAAAGAGTCCTCACCCAGTGTGCTGTTGGAAAGTGGGGGGAGGAAAGTGTGTGTTTAGGGGAGACACAGCTCCTTTTCCTCCACACAGGGGATCAAGACACACTGTCTAAAGTGGCCCATTGAGAAGAGTTTTAAAATCACACCCCTGGGAGTCACTGAGGCAGATGAGAACAGCTGGTTAAACAAGACACGGTGGCCACTTTGGGTCCCCCTAAGCACCCCCTACACATTTCCTGGGCTCGAGTCCTGTGTGTGTGAGGGAAGACATGAGAACGCAGCAAAGGAGGACTGTAGTGCCTCTTGTACACTCTTTGGGGAATAATCAGCACCACGGACAGGTGTGGGTGACATAAGCAGGGAACCTGGGGTCTAGGGGGAGCCCCAGGTGCCAGGTCCTGCTTGCCACCCACCCTTCTCATGGGTCCAGAGGGCACCGGTGCCACACTTCTCCAGGCCTGTCCTCCCGGAAGACCTCGCATCAGCACATAGCCAGCTGTCCCCACCCGGTGTCCCTCAGCAAGTGTGTGCGTTCCAGAAAGCACGGTACGAGGAGACAGTGCATGGGACTGTGCCCTGGAGGTCCCTAGTGGTAACACACAGACAGTGCAGCTGACTCCAATCAGGTGGACGTAGGTTCTAAAATTCCACAGTTTCTCATGCGACCCTGACAGGTGTAACCCCAGGCCTGGGCTCTGACACACAGGGCATCTGTTTTATCACAGTCCCTGCTCTGCAGCAGCCCCAAGGCAGGCCCTTGGCAGCGTGTGTGGCTCCTGCAGTGACACAGCAGGCTTGGGGCTTCAGGCTGAGCCCCTGGTGTGCACGGAGGGTCCCCAGCAGAGCCCAGAGCAGGCACTGAGTGAGCCGGTGGGAGCCCCGGGAGGTCCCAGGGCTGCAGGCAGCCAGGGATGGTGAGCACTGTACTGTGGCGGCAGCTCCGACAATGCCACTTCCATCCTGGGCAACCTGACTTTCTCTTGGGTTCCAAGAAAGTTCTGTGGTCTCTGACAAGATGAACTAGCGGAATTAGGAAGGTGCCGGGTGACACAGTCACACAGAGGAAGCTGCCATCCTGCTGCTGAGCCCAGAGGTTCTGGAGGACGGGCTGGCGGCCAATGCCGAGGGGGGACGTGGGCAAACCTCCCCCTCAGCTCCTTTTCTTTTCCCTCTCCTTATCCCTTTCCTCCCTCCCTTCTTTTTCTTCCTCACTATGCGGAGGGGAACACAGTGATAATTTTATATCACACGGGTAAACTGAAACATATACAGGTGGTCTCTAAGCACACAGAAAGCACTGGGTGACCATAAACATCGCGCAGTGGCCTTGGCCTCCTGCTTTAAGGAGGGGTCAGCAGGCAGGGGAAGGGCAGTGAGGGTAAGGGGACACGAGCTCCTTTCTTCCCTGAAAAACTCCTCTCAGACCCCAGCATTGGAGTCAGGAAGTCCCTCAGGGACCCCTATGCAACCAGAGGACTTGGGAAGGCACCTGGGGCGCCCCACCCCCGAGATGAAGCCCAGCAGGGACCAAGCCCAGCACCTATCTTGGCCACTGACTGATCCCCCCCACCGAGGACCTATGGAACCCAGACACTGACAAGCTGGACGAAGAAAACTGTGCCCCCCAATGCAGCTGGACCCCCCACACTGGGCCTCCTCTCCCACTTTGCCCCTGAGCGGCCACAGCAGAGCCTGGTCCCCAGGCAGGGTGGGGGAGACCGTGCCTGCCCCCCTCTACTCCTCTGCACCTAGTGGGTTCCCGAGGCGCTTTGGATGCGCTGGAACTGAGGGAGAAGACCTCACCCCGCCCCCCCAGGGGCCCTGCGGTCACCAGGAGGCGGGGGCTCCAGCTGCCCCTGCGTGTCCGGTGTGTCAGTCTGTGGTGGGCACACAGGGTAAAAATAACCCGTGTGGTGTTATCGACGGTGTTATTATTATCCGGCGTCCAGGGCCTCTCGGCCGTTTCCCTGGCGGTGCCCTTGGCCCTGGATGGATCGATCGCCTCGATGCAAGGTTTTCCTCTCGGAGGAGGTTTCAGCTTCGTGCCTGCAGCTATTTTTAGTGGCCTGAGCTCCACAGATGAGGCCTCGCTCAAATGATCCCGTGTGGCCAGGCAGGGAGGAGCCCAGACAGGCGGCGGGGGCGTCTATGTGTGTGAGCGTGGGGGGAGGGGGGCTGCTGGGGGCGGGTGGCTGCTCCTTCCAGCACTGGCAACCGGGAGCCCTGGGGAGTCCTAGGTCCCCCGCACCAGCTGGGGTGACCACACAAAGCAGAATGCCTTCAGGCTAAGTGTTTTCTGGATATTTCTGGTTGATTCTATTGGCTCAGCAACCAGGAGTAAATTCTGAGGCCAGGGGTTTAAAATCCCACCCTCTGGAAGCCAGACCGCTGTGTTCCACTTGACTCCTTTAAAAATGCAAACCACCTGGGCTGGCTCGGTGACTCCACCTGGGCTGGCTCGGTGAGCCCCTGTGACTTGCAGGGCTGGATGTGAATCCAAGGTGCAGCTGAGATGGCAGCACTAACTCCCCATGATCTCCCCTGCAGGTGCAGGACCCTCAGGGACGCACCTCAAAGTGGATGGCCCCATTCCCGTCGGCGTCGAAGGCGTTGAAGAGGAAGTGTGCGTAGGTGGTGGCATCTGGGGACAGCAAGGGGTGAGGTGGGGTCGGGAGGGCTGCAGAAAGCCCGGCCCCTCCTCAAGCAGCTCCCACCCACGCCAGGGTTCCAGCTTTGTCCAGGTCAGGACCCGCCCCTCCAGGAGGAAAGAGACAGCATTGGGTCTCTGCAGGCAGGGGTGGTGGTGCGTCCCCGCCCTGTAGTGGCCCGGAATCGTCCTGGGCCTGGCTGGACTCACCTCCCTGAGGGAAGAACTGCGAGTAGATGAGCTTGAAGGTGTCTTCATCCACCAGGCCTGTAGGACACTCCTGAAGTGGAAGCCGCCCCTCAGTAACTCAGCCACCCCCTGCTCCAGGCCCTGGGGATGCTGGGTGGAGGGTGGCGGGGGAGACAGTGGCTGGTGCCCCCATCTTCATGCCAAGCTGCTCGCCTGGCACCACCTTGGAGGCTCAGAGAAAGGAGCACAGTGGCCCTCACAGGGCCTGCCTCCCAGTAGGAGAAGCTGTGCTCCTGAGAAGTTTCTAGAAGGTTCCCTGGGCCAGGGTCCCTGCTCTGTGGAGTCAGGGACAGAGGGCCTTTGTAGTGGGGCACTCACGTTTTTGAAGCCCCGGTAGAGGGACTGCAGCTCCTTCTTGGTGAACTTGGTCTGTGTTTGCAGCTGGTCCAGCCCCTCCGGCTGGTGGCGCACCGTGGACAGTTCCAGCTCACTGTCACTGCTGTCTGGAAAGGGACACAGACCCAGGAGGGTGAGACATGCGGTATGGGCAGGTGCAGGGTGTAGGCTGGGATAGGGGACAGAAGGGGGAAGCTCTGCGTGACTGGCATGGACAGCGATGCAGGCTGTGCACTGCACAATTGGAGGGGCTGACCACAGCATGTCAGGGGTGTCCTTGCGGGCCTTCAGCTTCCCCTCTCGCCTCATGCTGAGTGCACCACCCCTAGAGCGAGGGGCAGGAGGAACCCTCAACGTTTAAGATCCCATGCTTAAATGGCCTCTTTCGTGAAGCCCTCTTGGTGTCCCCAGTAAGACAGATCTCTGGGACTAGAGGACAGGGGTCAGCTTAAACAAAACAAAACACAAAATGTGAGCTTTGGCTACTTAGGGGGAGGGAGGGTTTCAAGTCTTTATTTTCCTACCCATGATTTTTTACACCTTCCTAAGGCACTGAAGAAGAAAGTTCCTTTGGCATGGCATGCATCACTTTTAGAACAAAATAAAACTGGACCAAAAGGTATCGCGTGCCGCACCGCGTCACCTTCCCACTGACGGAGGAGTCCACCACTATCCGCACTCCCCAGGCGTGCTGCCGCCTCGGCCCTGCAGGGGGCGCTCTTCTGCGCAGTCCTGTGCAGCTCCGTGCCCTGCAAGGCCAGGCCCAGGGCCTGGGCAGAGCCGCTCCACACAGGCGGCAGTAGCAGCCTGCGCTGTCTCCCCGGCATGGCACGCGCGCGCGCACACACACGCACCCACGCACACACACACACAGCCTCCGAGACGACTGCTTCCGGTCCCTTCTTGCTGCTGGGTTCCGGTACCTCTTCCCCATCTCCGCCTCGGTGGCTCCCTACACCGCCCAGCAGAGGGACCCACCCGCCCCTCCTGTGCACCTGCCCTTCCCGCATGTGGCTCCGACCTCTGTTCTTGCTCCCCCTCTGCCACGAGCTGTCCCTGTCGGAGGCAGGCACGCTCACCCACTCAAGTGTGGGGCTCCCCGCTTCCCTACCCTTCCTCCTGCCCTCCGCTCTGGGTCATCCTCATGACCACATGGGCAGGCTGTTCGCCCCCGATCCTTAGCCAAACCCGGCATACAAAGCCTGCAAGCCAGCAGCCCCACGCTGGACAAAGATCCCCGAGGATTCTGGCCCAGGGAAGGCGACCTGCACAACAGCCTCACCGCAGAGGCAGTTTAGTAGGGAAACTCGAGAGAACCCAGTGGCTACACGGCGGGACGCGTAGGCCATACAGTAGAGGGTGCAACCACGGAGGACCGCGCAGTGGGTTACAAGTGCGCTCAGCGACGTGGGCAGACGCCCCAGGTTAGGCGTTTCCTGCAGGGCTTGTGGCGCCTGCCTGTAATCCCAGAGACTCATGCGGAAGCTGAGGCAGGAAGGTTCAGTTCGAGGTTAGCCTGGGCATCAAAAATTCAAAAGGGAAGGAGGTGTTTCTCAGTTGAGGACTATCAATTACAGTAGCGACTGCTAAATACATAAATAAATGTACGTATCCTTTAACTAAGAGGCAAAGTTTTTAGATCAGATGGAAAAAAACTCCCAAGTCCGCTTATACACTATAAAAAGGGTGCTCTTAATAAAAGACACACGTGGGCTGGGGATTTAGCTCAGTGGCTTAAGTGCCTGCCTAGCAAGTGCAAGGTTGTGAGTTCAATCCCCGGTACCAAAAAATAAAAAATAAATTAATAAAATAAAGACACATGCTGATTTTAGAGCAAAGGAGTAGGGCAAAGATAGGAAAACTGGAAATTTCTTTTCTTTCTTTCTTTCTTTCTTTTTTTTTTTTTTTTGAGACAACATTTGGCCATGCAGTTCAGGCTGGCCTTGAACTCAATAATTAGCCCAAGCTGGCCTCAAACTTGGGATCCTCTTGCTTCAGCCTCCCAAGTGCTGGGGTTACATGCCTGCATCACCATGCCCAGCTTGGAAATTTCATAATGATAGAAAAATTGCTTCATCCAGAAAACCGAATAACCTGAAATATATAAAACGTAGTAACAGAGCACTAAAATGACTAAAACAAAAAATTCAAAATGAACAGATGAACCACAATCGTACTTGAAAATTTTCAGTAAGTGGCACAAGATAGAAAAGATTTAGAAACCACCATCAACCAATTTGACCTAATTAATATATATAAAACTACATAACAACTACAGAATACCTTTTTTTTTCCCCAAGAGAACATTCTGGGGTTACCAAGATATACTGGCACAAAAAAACAGACTCTGAGCACAACAGTCATGAGTTAAAGGTAAAAACAACCCAAAGTTTAGAAATCTCAAACATCTGGAGATTAAACCATACACTTGTAACTAACCCACAGGTTAGAGAAGAAAATTTGCAAGTTGAATTTTGAACCAAATGATAAAGAGAACACGGCCTATCGAAGTCTGGTGGGAACAGATCAAGCTGTGTGCAGAGGGAGCTTAGAAGCTTAAATTACTGTATGAGAAAAGCAGCCAGCGAAAAACCAGTGACATAGCTTTGTGGTCTAAGCTTTTTCAGACTCTAGAAAAAGCACAGCAAATTAAATTCAAAGTAAGTAAAGTACCAGAAGTGGTAGTGCATGTCTGTAATCTTATTCTGAGAGGTTGAGGCAGGAGAATCCCAAATTCAGTCCTAGCTTGGACAACTTAGCAAAACCCTGTATCAAAATTTAACAAAAAAATATTTGAAGGACTGGTAATGTCACTTAATGTAAAGGTCCTGGATTCAATCCTCAGCACAGGAAAAAAAAAAGTATATAGAGGAAAGGTCATAATAAAAATAGTAGAAGTCAATGAAAAACAAAATGAAAATTCAATAAAGCCATTACAAAAAACTCAGTAGGCAAGTCATAAACTGAGAGAATTTATCCTCGGAACATGTATCTGACAAAGGAGCCATTTCCAAAATGCATAATAAACTTCTACAAACCAACAGTATTAAGACTAACACTTCCATTTTTTAAATAGGCAAAAGGCTAGGACCTTTGATCAAAGAAGCTATATAAAAGGTCAAAAAGCACACGAAAGGTGTTTGATTCCATCAATCCAAGAAAGGCAAATTATCCAATCAACATACAAAACATTTAATCTCTTGTCATTTCAAAACGACCAACAGCACCAAATGTGGATGAGGGTGTGGAGACACTGGACCACTCATACGTTGCTGGTGGACGTATAGGACCATGTGGCCACTCTTGGAGAACTGCTTGGCGACTCTCAGAAAGTTAAAACATAAACCAACCTGAGGACTTCCTAACTGGACATGTGAATGACCAGTACCAAAGACTCGTGTAAGAATAGTCATAATAGCTTTGTTTTCAACAGTCCTAAACTGGAAGCCACCCAAGCAATCAGCAGGAGCCCAGAAATGCAGCACATTCTGACCCTAAGCGCAAAGTGAATACGAACCTACTCTAATAAAACCTAAAATAAACTCTACAAAGAGCAAGCGGTTCTGCCAGCAATTTAACTGCCTGCCAAACTAAACCTCAACAACATCTGTACCAAAACAGTCCAGTCCCCACCCTCTCCTATACACCAGGGAAGGTGTCTTCGTCACTCTTTGCAGTAATGAGACAAAAACCCCACACCCAGCGTTAAAGGAGGAAGGGTTTATTGAGCTCACAGTTTGTGGAGGTTTCGGTTCATAGTCAGCTGAGTCCAAGGCAGGGTGGCCTGGCAGAGGAGCATCGCAGGGGAGAAGCAGTCCAGGGCAGGCAGAGAGCAGAAGTCAGCAAGGCAAGTGCAAGGACAAGTGGCAATGGCAGTTTCTTTCTGTCTTTTGTGTTTGATCCAGGCTACCTGCTGTCAGGGCAGGTAGCACTCACACCCAGAACTCTGCCAAACCAATCACACACCTTAACCCCAGCATCACACACCCTAGATCCAGCCCCCTCTGAAAAAGCCCCACCTGTGACTGCATGGGGCTTTGGGGAGAGACATTTGCATAGAAGCCACAAGAAATGGTGTTCAACATACAACACAAAGTTAAAGAACATGAGAAAAAAGGAAACAATCAACAAATAAAAGATTGAAAAGAATTATTAGCTTTTATTACCATAATTGCTACATCAGAGTTTTAAAACCAACAATGTTTTAAAATTCAACAATTTTCAACATGTTGAAAGCACTAGAGGAAAGAAAAGAGAGCCAGATGGGAATTCTGGGAGAAACATAACACTAAAAAAGAACAAAATAGAATGTTTACACTTGAACAAAACAATACCTAAAATTAAAAATTTACTTGATGACTTTAAGAGAATATTGGACCCCTAGATACTACACATTGGTCAATGAACTTAGTGGTCAATAGAAATTATCTATACTGAAAATAAGGAGACAAAGTATCAGCACTATGCACAGAATCTCAGTGACAACACCAAGACCCCAAGCAACCTAGTACAGCTGCAGTCACATCAGAAGCAGAGAAAAAAGACACTAGGATGTAAAAGGAATATTTGAAGAAGTAATGGCCAAAATTTCCCTAAGTTCCTCGAAACATACCAACTTACAGATCTAAGAAACTCAGTGAACCTCTAGAAGGGAGAAGAATCATGTTTAGGAACATCATGGGCTGGAACACCAAAGATACAAAGGCAATTTTTTTTTCTTTTTTTGGTCTTTTTCATTTTTATCGGTAGGCACTTATGCCGCTGAGCTAAATCCCCAGCCCCAATACAAAGGCAATTTTAAAAGCAGCAACCAGTGAAGGAGGAAAACCTTAAAGAAGAACGATCAGAAAGACAGCCACTGACTTCTTAGGTTAAATGGTGGAGGCCCCAGTCATGGAGCAAAATCTTTAAGTGGGTTGTGTTCAGTCTCTTTCCATCGCTGGGTCAAAATACGTGACATGAACAACTTACAGGAGAAAAGGTTTATTTGGGCTCATGGTTGCAGCCTGAGGTTGGCCAGCTGGCTCCACACCATGAAGAGGGGTTGGCGGAAGAAAGCTGCTCACCTCTGGCAGCCGGGAAGCAGAGAGAGTAAGGAGGAGCCAAA